TCGTCCATATTAACTTGTCCGATTCTCCCGTTTTGTGTATTGATTTCTTTTTTGTAAAACTTTCAGACGAGTTATTACAATTGTTTGAATGTTTATCCTATTGTTATCTATAAAATATTGATCCCCCTTATTAAATTGGGTTACAGAACAATTATTCAAACTACAGTTTACAAAAAAAAAAAATATATTTTTTTAGTGGTGCGTGAATTTCGTCCAGTTTGTTTTAAAGATTAATACCTACTTTGGAATTTTTAACCTTTTGGACCAAAATAAAGAATAGGATTGATTAAACTGTTTTTTTTGATTCGCTTCTAAAGTTGCTAAAAATGAATCATGCTCTAAAAATAATTTTGGTTTTGTGGCTTCTAAAAGGTGTTTTTCGAAATTTAATAAATATTCTTCATCAATAATAATTTGTTGTTGTGATGGTGGGGCGGTTACTGAGGGTGGAGTTAAATTGCCATTGATATTATTGATTGGTGGTTTATTTAGTAATATACTATTGGTTACATTGCTTTGCTGTAAATTATTTAAAACTGTTTTTTTAATATCATATATAATTACATCCCTTGTTGGTTTTAATAAAATTCTTTTTTGTATATAGTCTTTAAATGAGTCTAATAGGTTTGGTATTATAGTTGGATGCTGTAAACTTGTATTGCTATTGGAAATGGTCTTTTTAAAATTGTTGGATATGATCTCGTTGGAGGCAAATCCTCTATAGTCTTTAATATCCACAACTATACATCCTTCATAATAATAAACTAAATCTTGATTTAATTGGTCCAATAAATCTATTATATTTGGTGTTAAATTGCCTTGTGATATGGAGTTTAAAAATTCTTTGGAGTTTTTGTCGTAGTATGGGAAAACCTTATCCTAAAAAAAAAAAATTTATATATAAGTTTTTTAATTTATACAAAATATATACATAAAGTTATAATTATAATTATTAATTACCTTGCCTAAGTTGTTAATTGAATATCCATTTGGGAATAACCTAATAAACAGTGTTGTTTTAAAACTTGACAACTTATCTTTATTATTATTTGCATTTATGTTTATATCAATACCCATTTGTTCAAGTAATTCTAATTTTCTTTTAGTTGTTAAACTATTCGATTCAATATTGGTATTTGTTACATTAGTATCTATATTTGTTCCATTAGCTTCTTTCACTGGGGTTGTTTCTGTTGTTTCTGTTGTTTCTGTAGTCTCCTTTGTTTCTGTTGGGTGGTCATTAACATGATGATGTATACCATTTTGTTGTTGTTGTGGTTGTTGTTGTTGTTTTGTTTCTTGGTCTTTCATTTCAGTATCTATATGGTTTTGTGTTGTTATATTTAAACTATCATCATTATTGTTATTGTTATGGTTGGGTGTTGAGATAGGAGGTGAGTTAACGCTAATTGATGTATCCATATCCATTGCCATATCAATATTATCTTTGAGTGCCGATGGTGTTGTTGTTGTTGAAATAAGCTTTTCGTTTAATTCCGGTGATGTTGCTGTTATATTATTTAATTCTGTACTGTTACCATTCATTCCGTATTAATTTAAATCATATGGTTTTTATATAGGGAGTATATCTTTTTTTTTAAAAGATATTGTTATTATTATTATTATTATAAATATTATTACTATTAATTTGGAATTTTATAATGGTTTATAGTTTGAATTGTTATAATATTTGAGTTTTATTATGTTTCTATATTGCTCGTATGGTTTTATTTTAAGGAATATTGCAGTCTAATAAATGAATGTTGAATGAAAAAGAGGAATTGAGTGTTATTGTACTATTATATGATTTAAACACATATATTATTATTACTGCTATTTACTATTATTGCTATTTTCGTATTGGATTGGTAAATATAAAATATATTCTCTTTTTTTTTTTTTTTTAATTTGAAAATTAAAAAGTGATCATATGAAATTTAAAAAAAAACTTGTTGTGTAGTATGCAACACTATAATTTAATTTGAAAAATAAAATGAAAATAAAAAAAAAAAAAATTTTAAAAAAATAAAAAAAAAAAATTTTTTAAAAAAAATTAAACTGTTAAATTTTTTATTTTTATTTTTATTTGGATATGGTATATTTCAGGATGAAAAACTATATTTAGAACAATATGAGATAAACAAATCAACGATCTTAAAGTTTAAACCCTTTCCATAAAAACTATTAACTTTGGTGAAAATTGTGAGTAAAGTCGATATTGAATGGGGTGTGTGAATCAAAAATGAAAAAAAATAAAAAAAATTATTGGATAATAGAAGAAATATTTTTGTTTTATTTAGATTCTTTTAAAATAACAATAGTATTTAGGCTCCTCATAAACGTACAGTTAGAATAAGAATACTATTGACATTGATTCTATAGAAACCTAAGGTTTTGCTATTGACCAAAGCGACCCCATTCATAAAAATGATTTGTTGATCGAGTGGGATTCCAGTGGGGGCAACTAATCTATCTTTTAAAGATGCAATAGTATCTTCTGTACTAACTAAAACGGTTATAATACCATGGGAAAAAGTACCAACTTTAACTTTGAAATCAACCATTTTTAATATTTTATTTTTAATATTGAACGAAAATAAAATGTTCTTTTTTTTATTTTTTCTAAATTTTACCTTTAAATTGGTTTCGAAAGATTAATTAATTTTATTCTCTTTTCATACATTTTTTAAATTGGTAATTTATAAAATGAAATTTACACCAAGGTAAAAAATACCAAATTCCCTAAAAAAATTTAAATTTTCCCACGCTTCAAAATTACGACCAACGCATATGAAAAATACTAATTAAATTTAGGAGGGATAATTGCTTTTTTATATATACAATAAAATAAATGGTAATAATTGTATTGTGTGCCATTATATTTATATTTTATAAAGTTGCATTTTTAATTTATTTTTTATTTTTTATTAATATTAAATTTAATTAATATTTTTAACATGATATATAGACGATTAATGTAAGAAATTTCTATTGCCAGTGAAAACCATTGGGATGTTATATTTGTTTGCAGCATCAATAACTTCTTGGTCTCTAATGGAACCACCTGGTTGAACTATAATATTTAAAAAAAAAAAGTTTTATTAATATCATGGTTTTCTTTATAAAGATATTGCATACATATGCATATTAAATTAAATTACTTACCAATACATCCAATTTTACCTTGATGGGCTAAATCAATTGAATCAGCAAATGGGAAGAAAGCATCAGAGGCTAAAGCACTACCAATGGCTTTTTCACCACCTACTTTCATACAAATGTCTACTGATTGATGACGATTTGGTTGACCGGCACCAATGGCAACAATGGTTTCATCTTTGGTAAGAACGATAGCATTTGATTTAACATGTTTTGAAACTCTCCAAGCAAATAAGAGATCTCTCATTTGTTGTTCAGTTGGTTTGGCATCAGTAACAACTTTCCAATTTTTAGTGGCTTCTTCAAGTGAACCTAAAACGATTGGGTTTGGTGATTGTAATAAAGCACCACCGGTGATGGTACGAATATCTGGTTGGGTGAAAGCTTGTTGGGTAGCGGCTTCTGGAACTAAAAGTACACGAAGTTTTTCTCTTTTTTGTAAAAGAGCTAAGGCTTCTGGGTCATATTCTGGTGCGATGATAACTTCATAAAAGATACCTTTCATGGCAGTGGCAGATTCAAGGGTTAATTTACGATTGAAACCAACAATACCACCATAAGCAGATTTTGGATCACCATTAAAAGCACGTCTATAGGCTTCAGTTTGATCTTTGTGAACAGCTAAACCACATGGATTGGTATGTTTAATGACGACACAAGCAGTATCGGCAAATTCTCTAACGGCTTTAAGGGCAGCATCACCATCTAAAATATTATTGTATGAAAGGGCTGGTCCGTGTAATGATTTAGCATTTGCAATACCACCACTGTTTGGACAACTGTAAAGGGCGGCTTTTTGATGTGGGTTTTCACCATAACGTAAATCATTTTTCTTTTCATATAATGGTACAAAGGTATTTGGGAACTCTACGTTTGCATTGGATGGGGTCTTGATATTTTCAATTGATTTGGCTTCAGTTGGTAATTCGACACCTGCTAAATATTGAGTTACAGCAGCATCATATTGACAACCATGTTGGAGAGCTTTAACTGCTAATTTCTTTCTTTCTTCAAGAGTAATTGATTCGATACCAGTTTGTTCGATACGTTCACCAATCCATTTATAATCTGTTGGGTCTACAATGATTAAAACATTTTGGAAATTCTTTGATGAGGCACGAATGAGAGTATGACCACCAATATCGATGTTTTCAATTGCATCTTCAAGAGTAACATCTGGTTTTGAAATGGTTTCTACAAATGGGTATAAATTTACAACTACAATTTTAATTGGTTTGATATTATATTTGGTTAAATCTGCTTGATGGTGTGAAAGTTCTGGACGAGCCAATAAAGCACCGTGAATCTTTGGATGTAATGTTTTAACTCTACCATCTAACATTTCTGGATACTCTGTAACATCTGAAACTTGTTGAACTTTTAATCCATTATCAGCTAATGATTTGAATGTACCGCCTGTAGAAATTAAATTAAAACCCTTTGATGAAAGAATTTTTGAAAATTCAACAATACCAGTTTTATTATAAACACTTAATAATGCTTGCATAATCTAAATTGTTTATTATTTATTAATAATTAGTAAATATGATAATTTAAAAAAATATTTAATTTATTTTTTAATAACATCAAAAAAAAAAAAAAAAAAAACCTCTCCGAAAAGACGTCTCCTAAAAAATAAAAATAAAAAAAAATAAAAAAAAATTATTATTATTTATTATAATAATAATAAATTATAATTATACCTTTATTTATTATTAATAATATAAATATTATTATTATATTCTATTGATTATAAATAATTTATTTAAAAAAAAAAAAAAATTATTATACAAATGAAAATTTGTAAAAAAAATAAAAAATAAAAAAAATAAAAAAAATAATAATTAATAGCTATTTACGGTCCGTGAAAATAATAAAAAAACAAAAACAAAAAAAAATAAAAAAAAAAATTGTGTGTGTGAATGAATAAAGTGTGTTTGTGTGTGTGTTTTTTAAATTTATTGTCAGTTCACCTCATTAAATCACATAAGAAAAAGAAAAAAAAAAGTATTTTTTGTGATAGATGGTGATTATAATATTAAAATAGATTAAATGATAGTTGATACAATTTTACTATAAATATCTGAAAAAAAGATTTAATTATAAAAAAAAGATAAATATAATAATGTATTATTATTGTTATTTTAAATATATATTTGGTTTTTTATTATTTTTATTATTATTATTACTATTATTATTGACTGGCTTGTTCGATTAATAATTTTGCACCTTTTAATTCTAAAAAAAAATATAAATAAGATTAGTATTATCATAATAAAGTGTCATCTTAATAGGTTAAAAACATACCATAATATAATACATTAAATTTCTTTGCGCTTATTTCAAATGGATGTGATGTAATCTCACCATTTGATGGGTTTTTAACTTTGAAATTTAATTGAACATTTGGTGCATTAACTTCTTGAATTGTATTTGAACTTAAAATAAAATCTACTCTCCAATCTAATGATTCTAAACTTGGTACTATAAAATAAATAGATAAATTAATTAGTTAATAAATAATAATGAAGAAATTAATATAATTGTTGATTGATTGATTGATTGATGAATTGATCTATTTATATGGTATTTGTGGGGGGTGGGTGGGGGTTTCGTTACATTTTAATGTATTGTTATAAAAAATTTGACGTAATTTTTCTTTATGTTCTCTAAATGCTCTTGAAATTGAATCGCAATGTTCTTTTGGTAAACCAAGTTGTTGAAGTTCAGTTGAAAGGGTTGTTTCATCAACATCATTCTTTACAGAGTTGAAGATTATAAAATGTACTGCTGCAATTAAAGCTTTAATATCTGATACTACAAATGAGGCATCTTTAACTAATTTTTCTACTTTATCAAACTATTAATATAAAAAATATTAATATATTCCAATGCTACTTGCGCTAATAGTTTTTTTATATAATTTTTTTAATTTAAAAACATACATCTATATTTTCACCTGATGCTAAACTATTTACAACTTGGACAGTTATCAATTTAATTCTAATATTTGTCTATTAAAATACATGTTAGTAAATGCTAATATAGTACACATAAAGTAGAATTTATAATCACTCACAATTTTTGATAATGTATTAATTTCTCTTAATAACCAATCAGGAGCATCAAGATCACCACAAAATTTAAATTTCTATATATTTACAAATAAAAATAATTAATATTTTATTCTATTGTAGTTGGAAATGGGTTTATTTTAGAAGAATTTACCATTTTTATTTATTTAATATATATTTATACAAAATGTGTTATTTTTCAAAAAAAAAATTAAAAAAATTAAAAAAAAAAAGATTTTTATTTTTTTTTTATTTTTTTTTTTTATTTATTTTTGAAAATAGTGGGAGTAAATTTCTTTTCATTGTTATAATTTTATATATAATGACTACTATATCAATTTTGTTTGTTCATTCAGTTAATTAAACCCATAGTGTATTATAGGAAGGGTTAATAGAGCTTGAGCATAACAAATTCATTTACATAATAAATAAAAAAATTAAAAAGGAAAAAAAAGATCCAATACATGAATTTCATGAAATTATTAAAAGAAAAATATAACAATTCTACATTGTATGGTTTTTTTATTGGTTTTAGATTTTCCACTGGATTAAATATCTTTTTTTTTTTCTTTTTTCAATGTCCTTTTAATTTCTTAAAATCACATAAAATTGTAAATATATTTTTTTATTTTTTTTAATTTTTTTATTATTTTTTTTTTTTTTAATCAAATCTTAAATAATCTATAATAATATATATTTATATAATTTTATATTATTATAATGGAGTTTTAGTCTTAAAACCATTTTTTTATTTAGATATTATTATGTCTTTATTCAAAAAAAAAAAAAAAATAATTTATAAAAAAAAAAAAAGATATTTTTTCATTTTTTTTTTATTTATCAAAGATCCTCAAAAAGCCCCAATAATAAACCCATTTTTCATATGATTTTTATTTTATTATTATTATTTTTATTGTTAATGTTGTTGGTATTGGATTTTTTCTTTTTTCTCTTTTTTTTTTTTTTTCAATCCATTATTTTTATCATAAATTTTTTTTTTATATATACATTTTTAAATGTTCAAAATAAATATATTAATTCTTTTTTTACTAGTTTTATTTTTTTTTATTAATATTATAAAGTGTCAAAGTGATGGATCTCCATTTCCAAAGGATTGTATATATTTAAATGGAATCCAAAGTTATAATATTGGAAAGATTGCAAAGTTTGTATTTATTTTTTATTATTTTTTGTATTTATTTTTAAATAAAAATAACATTTTTTTTTTACAAAACAAATAGCACTACCCAAAACGGTTTTTATATGGAAAAATTTCCATTGGGCAAAAATGATTTAGAATTTGAAATTATTTTTAATTTTTGTGGTATTTCAGTAAAGAAAGCTTGCTCATCTGGAGTTGATACTTTTTCATGTCAATCTTATGTGGTTAATAGAGGCTATTATGTTATTGGTGATCCATATATGGGTGAGTTGGTTAAATATCACGAAAAGGGATCCGGAATGACGCTAACCTATAGGTCCAATACAACTATTGGATGTACGCCATATCTTTATAAATACACAAATCTAATCCTAAATTGTAACCCAAATGTCGATTTTAAAATTACCTCAAATAATAACGAATCAGTTATATGCAATTTTGATATTTCTATTGATACCAAGTATGTATGTAGCATATGTCAATATAACTGTGGCAAATATGGTAAATGTAATAATAGCACAGCCACATGTGACTGTATATCCCAGGCAACAGGTAATGACTGCTCAGCATCCAGACTTTTCATTAGCGGGGTAGATTCTACAACTACTGAAGGAGGTACTTGTGTAATTTATGGATATTTCGGTGATGTTAAACCAGTGGACACACAGAATGTTCAAGTTTTAATAGGTGACAAGCAATGCACAATTATTTCAACTCAATCCAATCAAATAACATGTAATATAGCAGGTGGTACAGGTGTCAAAGACGTCAAGATAACATCATATGAATTTTCAACAAGTCTAAAAAATTCATTCCAATATATTGAAATTAAAAAAAAGTGCCCAAATGATTGTACCAATCTTAATCAAGGCCAATGCAACTCAACTACAGGTTTATGTATATGTATAAATGACTATACTGGCAATGATTGTTCATTAAAGCAGCCAAGCAAAATACCAGATGTTTCAGTAAATGATACTACGGGGGAAGTTGGTTTGGGTTATGAAAAAGTAAACTATACAATCAATATTGTATCATTAGTAGAGTTGGATTTAAATAATAAAGAAGTAGTAGAGTATTTTTTAAATAATAATTGGAATGCAACCATCAAAAATAATACCAGTCTAACTAATAATGACAGCAAAAATAGAATAAATTATTTTAAGCAAGTTTTAAAATCAAATAATAGCAATAGTGTTAATTTTACAATTGAATATATTGTTGAAGAAATTTTAGATAGGAAAAAAGAATATTCTTTTGCTGGTGTGGATTTTACTTTGGATCAAGGTTCGATTAAAATCTCAATTTCAATTACAAATTACACCTATTCAAATACATTAAATACATTGCAATTAAGAATACAGTCATCTATAGATCAGCTATCAAATAATGACAATAGTAGGAATGACTGCAACAGTAAAGAAACTTCAGTAGATACAAATAGTATAAATAATAATCAATTACTAAATTATATCACTATCACTAAAAATAATAAAATATTTTCAGGTAGATTTATAAATAAATTAATATCTGATCGTCGAGCCACTTTTATGTCAACTTCAATTTTAAAACAAGATAACACATCAATTTTATTGGGTTTAAATTTACCACACTGTACAGAATGTTTAATAGATCCAGATTTTTCTTTATTGGTGTCCCAAGAGAATGATTGTTCAAGAAAATGGTTTTTACCTGTAGTTATTGTTGTTCCAGTATGTGGTGCTGCCATTATAGTTATCATCTCTACTGTTATTTATAGGAAATATAAATATAATTTTAGGGTTATGACTTTTAAATTAAAAAAAATCAATTTATTTATGGATAATAATGAAAGTAAAAATTAAAAAAAATCAAAATAAAAAAATCAATCATCTGTATATTTATAATAAAAAATAAAATCATATTTTAAATAAATATTTTAAATTCCAAAAAAAATATCTTGTATATTTTTTTTTTGGATATTTTTTATTTTTTCTTTTTATTTTTTTATTTTTTTATTTTTTTATGGATTTTTTATTTTTTAAGCAATCAAATTATAAGCCAATTTTTTATTTTTATAAATAATTAGATTGTATATAAAATGAATTTAATAATAAAATTAAAATATTTTATATGTATAATTACTCTTGTGTTAAATATTGTATATGGTGTATATGTAGATTGCACTTTTAAAAATGATAAATATGGTTTAACATATGATCTATCCCCACTCAGAATGGATATAGGATATTATAAGGTTTTAGTAAGTCCTTTATTTATAGATGCAAAAACAGATATATATTATAACTTTTGTTTATTAAATGGCATATCAGCATGTAGCAACCCAGATTCAAATGCATGTCAAATTTTAGATTCATCAACACAACGACAGGTGGGGAGTATAGGTTTAGAAACTAAAGAGGATACGGACGTGGGCATTGACTTGATTTATAATTCAGAGACATTCCAACCAGAAGGTTTAAACAATTGTTCTTTAAATGGGAATAAGAGAAGTTTAAGGATTAGTTTACGTTGTGGAGAAGTCGATTATATGGCATCAGATGCCGAAGAAAAAACTACTTGTGTATATAATTTTATAGCTTTAACACGATATGTATGTAATGATTGTATAGAAAAAAATTATTGTTCAAACCATGGTACATGTAATCCTAATAACGGTCAATGTGAATGTGATTCTCAAACCAAAGGAGCAAATTGTACAGAGTCTAATATATGGGTTAGTTCAAGTAAAGAAACACTAATCAGTGGTGGAAAGACATCGATATATGGTTCATTTGGTAATACAACAGCATCTTTAAAGGTTTATATCGGTGATTTAGAATGCTCAAATCCAATAACATCCAACTCTTCAAAAGAAATAACATGTCAGGCCCCTCCTTCATCAACAATAGGTTTTAAAAATATTACCATTTACGATGGCGATGTTTACTTTTCAGGTAAAGATTTATTCAAATATTATGATAACCAGGTTAAAAAGTGCCCAGATAATTGCTTTAATGAACAGGGCCAGGGTGAATGTGTTAATGGTCTATGTGTTTGCAATACTGGTTTCACAGGATTCAACTGCGAGTTAAAAACAAATAACAACAATAATAATAATAATAATAATAACAATATAAACTCAACAACAGGTGGTGTGGCCATTAACAGTCAATATTTAATCAATATTTATTCACTAGTCGAATTAAATGTAACAGGTGCCATCCAGAACGAGTATATTTTAAATAATAATTGGAAGCAAAAAATAAATTCTAGTAACGAAAGTGTAGATTTAGCAGTTTTTTATCAGCCCTTTAATAATAGTAATAGTATTAAATCAACAATAGAATACCAGATTGAAATTATCAAATCTAAAAAGGAATATTCATTCGCAGGATTATCTTTTACTTTGGATGCAGGTTCGATTAAAACTTCAGTTTCAATTTATAATTACCCATACCAAAACAATTTAAATACATTACAGTTAAGAGTCTTATCAGGTGTCGACGAGAGAGGTGGCCAAACAGATTCCTGTAATAAAGCAGATACCAATATAGACACTTTTATAGACAACAACCAAGATTATAATTATTTAAAAATAACTAAAGATAATAAAGTATTTTCAGGCAGCTTTTTAACAAAGTTAATTTCAGATAATAGAATTTCATTTATGACAACTTCAATTTTAAAGCAAGATAACTCATCAGTTTTGTTAGGTTTAAATTTACCACACTGTACAGAACAATGTATAATAGATCCAAACTTTTCTTTATTAGTGTCACCAGATTACATAGATTCGTGTGGTTCCGACAGAAAGAAATGGTTTTTGCCAGTAGTGATTGCTGTCCCTGTTCTCGGTGCTGCTTTAATAGTAATTGTTTTCTTTGTAATATACAAGAAAAATCTTTTAAAAATTAAATTATTAAGAGCAAAATTATCAGAATTAAAAAGATCAAAAAATAATGTACCATTAGAATAAAAAACAAGAATTAATAATATCAATATTGTGTTTATTATAATTTATTTCCATTTTATTAATTAATTTTGATATGGAAAAAAAAAAAATAAATATCAAAAAATATCTAAAAAAAAAAAAAAAAAAAAAATTTCAAAACCAAAAAAAAAAAAAAACGTCTATTCATTTCAATTCATTAATACCCAAAAAATGAGATTAACACACATATTACTTATTTTAACAGTTGTAGCTTTACAATTTGCTACTATTTTATCACAATCATCATCATCATCAACATCAGAAGAGTCATCTTCAGAATCACTAAAAACATGTATTTTCGAAGATCCCGAATTAAATATTTCTTATGATTTATCATCAATGATAGGGTATTTATTTATTTACTTATTTATGTAATGGTTTATTTAATGGTTTATTAATTTATTAATTTTTATTTCTTATTTATTATAGAACCGATTTTACAGTTGGAAATGAAACTGATTTGGTATGTATATTTATATTTTTAATTTAATATTTATAATTTAAATTTCCTATTAATTATTTAATTAAATAATCTTAAAAAAAAAAAAAGTTAATTTTAAGTATTTGTGGTGATAGTTGGACTTGTTCAGATGTTTTTAATAATCAAACTGGCATTGAGTCATGTGGTACTATTGGAAATTCAACTGATTTTATTATTGGTATGACCAGTACACAAGCATTTAAATTTATTAATGATGGCATTATTATTTATTATCAATCAAACACTAAATGTGCAAATGGTGATTTGAAATCTTCAATATTATATATAACATGTAATCCCGAATTACCAGATACTTTTATTGTTAATAATACAATTGATGAAAATTGTCAATACAACTTTTATGTCCAATCACCATCAGTTTGTTCATCATCATCATCATCAAGCAGTTCCCAATGGAATAGTTTAAGTGGTAGTAGTTATAGTGAAAGTGGTAGTTATAGTTATAGTGGTGATTCTTCCCAAAACTAATAAAAAACATTCCAAATATGAAAAATTAAAATAAAATTCCAAAAAGAATCTTTTTTTTATTTTTTTTATTATTTTTATTTTTTTATTTTTTTAAAATTTTCATTTTTTTTTTTTATTTTTTTAGTATTCATTTTTTAAATTCTAGAAATAAATACTATAATGAAAATATTATTAATATTTATATATATAACAGTTTATTTATTCAATAGTATTAGTTGTCAACAATTATATGCCAATTTTTTACCATATCAAAACTCACAATGCGAAAATGAGAGTTTTGGTATCGGGATGTCCATTGCCGTGGGTAACTGTATTAATGGAATAGGTTCGATGGCCGGAATAGAAAACGATTTAAATTGGTACCTTTTTATCAATGCATTAAGGGTTGGCATTAAAGAGTTTGATCCAATTGACCAAGATTGCAGTGGTAATTTTACAAATTTTTACTCATTCAAAAACTCAACATGTACAATTACACCACCATTTTTAGGATATATAGCTTCCAATTACTCTGCTGCTGTTAAAGGTGGATTACCATTAAATCAACAATACTCCAGATTTTTTATAACCAACCAACCTTATTACGGATTACCAAATTCAATCACCCAGGTTTATTCAAAATATAAAAATAATAATTGTTCCAATACTAAGAATTTATTATATTCAATTTTTATTTCCGATTCATTAGAGATCCAATTTAATCAAAACTCAACATCACCCACCACAACAACAATATCTTCAATTTCCTATCAATGTGATAGTAATAACGATGCAAATCAAGATATATGTAAAAATCAATCATCATGTAATAATATTTTAGTATCAACAAATTGTAAAGAAAACAACCTTAAAGAAGAAATTTATTGTAAAAATAATTAAATTAATAAATTTATTTTAAAATAAAAATTTTTTATTTTTTTTTTTAAATTTTTTTTTATTTTTTTTTGTAAAAAAAATCAAATTTTAATTTCATTATTTTTTTTTTTTAAAAATTATTGTGTATATTAGTAAAAATAAATAGTAATCATTATGAGTTCAGACAAAAAACAAGAAACTCAAATTACCGATAATAGTAATAATAATCCAACCACAATTACAAATAATAATGAAAATTTAGATAATAAAAATAATAAAGAAGAAACTAATAAAGAAATCATAAAAGATAATAACAAAATTAAAGAAGAGAATATTAATAATGATAATAAAGAAACCATAAAAGATAATAACAATAATAATAATAGTAATGAATCAGATGATGAGGGTTTAATTAAAAATTTAACAAACAGAGAAATTGAAATTAAAAATTTAGTTAGTGGAGCAGAATATACAGGACCACCAAAGAAAACAATTTATTTAGAAGATAATACAGATATATTTGATCCAAATGAACCACAGATTAAAGAAGATATTATTCGTATGATTATTCAGTATCTTCAAGATGAAGGATATACAGCATCATTATTAACAGTTCAAGACGAAGCCAATGTCAAATTCTCAGAACATGTTTACAAGATTTCACAAATGAAAAAGATGAAGAAGGCAATTTTAGAAGGAGATTGGAATGAAGTTGAAAAACTTTGTGCTAAAAACACATTCAAGAATCACCAATCATTTTTATATGCAGTTTACAAGCAAGCTTATTTAGAGTTACTAGAAAAACAAGAGTATCAAAAAGCATTCTCATATTTAACCAAACGTTTAAAACCATTGGAAGGTCGTCAAAACAATGCTGATGAATTTAAAGATTTGTGTTATCTTTTAACATGTCGTTCAGTTCAAGAGGTTAGTTCCTTTAAGAATTGGGATGGTAGCAAGGGCACTAGCAGAGAAAAATTGGTTGAACAATTTCAATCAATGTTAGAGTTGGAAAATACAAAATCAACAGGTGCATTGTTCCGTGTACCACCACATCGTTTAATTTCTTTATTAAAACAATCCATTGCCTATCAAATCGAGTTTGGTCGTTATCATCCAAAAGTTTTACCAAAAATTAAAACACTTCTCGACGATTATAGCTGTTTTGTTTTGCCAAATAGTTTAAAGTTCAATTGTAATGGTCATCGTAAAAATGTAAAATGCGTCGAATTTATTGGTAATGGTCTAACATTGGCATCTGGTTCTTCCGATAATACCATTAAACTTTGGAATACTGAAAATGGTAACCTTTTATCCACCCTTACTGGTAACAACTCTAGAATATGGGATTTATCTTCATCTTCATCTGGTAACTTTTTAGCAAGCGCTGCTGGTGATGGTATTGTAAAGGTTTGGGATGTTCAATCTAAAACTAAACCACAATGTCCATTAACACTTAAAGCTCATGAAGGTGATGCTTATACTGTACAATTTCATCCTGGTCAAGTATGTAAATAATAATTAAAATTAATAATAATAAAAAAAATATTAATTTTTTTTTTTTTTTTTATAGAACCACATTGCAACTGGTGGTTATGACAAAGGTATTCATTTATATGATGTTAGAACTGGGGCATTGGTTAAGTCATTTTCAGGTCATACTGGATCAATTTCTAAAGTTATATTTAATCCACATGGTAATTTAATTATTTCAGGTTCAAAAGATAGTACAATTAAATTTTGGGATATTGTCAGTGGTGTATGTATTAAAACTTTAAGTTCACATTTAGGCGAGGTTACATCTATTGCAACCAATAGTAGTGGAACCTTTTTACTCAGCGCATCAAAAGATAATAGTAATCGTTTGTGGGATATTAGAAATGCTCGTCCAATTAAACGTTTCAAAGGTCATCAAAATACATCAAAGAACTTTATTCGTAGTAGTTTTGGTCCAAACGAATCTTTAGTAGTTGGTGGCTCTGAAGATGGTTATATTTATATTTGGGATATCGAAACCTGTAACATCCTTCAAAAATTAGGTACCCCATCCAATCATATGCCAATGGTTTACTCTGCAACTTGGTGTCAAGAACAATCTTTATTAGCATCATGTTCCCAGGATTGTTCCGTTAAAATGTGGTGGTATGACCAATCAAAACCAGTTTTTAATGATAATTTAAATTAAAATAAATAAATAAATAATAAATAATTATAAAAAATAAAATAAATATAAATAAATAACTTTCATTGTAATAAAAAAATAAATATTATTTTATTTATATTTGGGGGAAGGTTTATTTGTGTGTATTTACATCCATTTTTAGTTATATGGTAGTGAGTTTTATTATATATATTCAAACTTTAATTGATTAGCGAGGCTTTTTCACTGTCACTAAATTCTTTATCATAGTTGGCTCTTTCTAAATCTTGAGATTTGTATCTAATTGGTTTGTTTATTGAGTTTATACTGTGTGGAGAGTATGCTTGAGTTGTTGCCGGTTTTGGTGGCATTTTTCTAAATAATATAATAACAAATATTGATGGGACTACTTCACTAACTGCATAATAAATTGAAACACTTAAAAAGTTTACATGTAGTTTTGGATAGTATGAAACGATTAAAAATAATAATGATCTTCCTAAAAAACAGAAAGTGCATAATAATGTAAATATAACAACCTGAAATAATAAATATAAAAAGTTAATAAAATTATTTTCTACACCTGGTCATCATCTTTATAACCAAAAACTTACCTCAATGAATTTCTTTCTTTGATTTCTTGAATGAAGTGGATGTCTTTTAAGTTTTAATGATAATTTACAACCATAATAAAAGAATGCTAAACTTGCACATAATGAAATAGTTGCATAAAATGTATTGTCTGCTTTATCGATTTGATCTCTATGATCTCTTGAGATTGCAAAAATACATATCCATATTATAATTTGTAAAATATAAATAACGCCAATTGATAAGAAAAATAATGGTTTAACTCTAGCTTTATATAACTTTGTTTTATTTCTTGAATGATAAACAATTTCAATCCTTTTTTAAAAAATAAAATTAATAATATGATATCATATTATAAATTGTAATTGAACTAACTAACTAACTAACTACTTACCAAAATAAAATTAATAAACAAAATGTTGTAAAAAATGATATACATCCAAGATCATCTAAAATTGTAAATCTTTCAAGACTAAATTTACCTAGATTAAAAGTGCCAGCTTTAGAACTTGAAAATGCAACTGAAAAAAAGAAAACTGTTCTAACTATAATATTTAATACAATAAATATTAGTCTCACTCATTTTTTGATTACCAAAATTCTAATACTTACATGTACATGTTAAAAATAATAAGGTTAAAAATGTTTTTTGAGTTGTTACTCTTCTTAAAGGGAAACCTATGAAATAAATACGAAGGAATTGTATGATTGGAGCAAATAATAAAACCCCATAAATTGAACCCATTACAATAAATATAGTTGTCAATGATGCTAACTCTACTTCATTCCCATTTTGACCACTATCACCGGTGAACCCTGGTTTGGTATTATTATTTGGATATATACTATTAAACTCTGCTATATCATTATTATGATTTATTGTTTTTTCTATTATGGAGAGTAATTCTCTCATTTTATTTATTGCTATAAAAATAAGCTTTGTGTTATATATATTAGTGTTTTAATTTTTAAAAAAAATTTTAGATGATTTGAAAAATTTAAAAAAAAAAAATAAATAAAAATAAAAAAAATAAAAAAGAAATTTTTATTTTTGGTTATTTTTTTAAAATTTTTTTTTTCATTTAAAAGAATAGATCAAGTAATTAGTTATTTATATATATCATAAAAAAAGAGAAAATAAAAAAGATCATATACCAAAGATTTTATATGTAAAACAACAATTTTTTTTTTTTTTTTTTTTTAATTTTTTTTTTTTTTTAATTTTTTTTTTTTTAATTTTTTTTTTTTATAAATTAATTTTTTTTTTTTTTTTATAACTGAATTTTTATCATTATTTATAAATATTATTTCATTTTTTTATAAACAACAAAAACACCCTATTCAATAAACATACCAATAATATACATTTACATTCCACTTTAAAATAAAATAATAATAATAGAAAAATATAATAGAAATAAAACAAATGAATAGAAGTGTTACAACAGTTTCAATCCAAAGAGATTACAGGGATATTATAACAAAATTCGAAATGCAACCATTTCCAGAAGAGCTATCAAGGAATGGTGTCAGTTTACTAGAGTTTGAAAATACAATTAATGAAATAAATAGATTATTACAAACAGCAGAAACTATAGATTCAAAAAGTATTTTCGAAGAGTGTATTGGTTGCTTAACTTTTTTCAGTATATTTTTATTTTATGACGATAAATACAAAAAAGTAATTTCGATTTTACCATATATAGCAATAATAATAATGTAAATAATTGGTTTATTAATAATAGTTTTAAATATTTTCTTTAAATTTAGTGCATAAAACGTATTACAGAATTTATAGAACGAGAAAATCAATCATTATATAATCCAAAGGGTATTACTTGGATTAACCCTGTATCAAATGGGTTTTTAAAAATAGATATTATAATTAACTTATCAAATTCCAACACATCAACACCTTCAACTATACCTACATCTTTATTCGCCACCCCACCTTTATCAAATGTAAATAATGAAATAAACGATAATAATAACAATAATAATAATAATAATAACAATAATAATAGCAGTAATAGTGATAAACAAACAAGAACCCCAACAAAAATACCAGAAATAGACGAAAAACAAATTCAAAAACCAGATACCATAATAAATGTTGTAACAAATAATAATATAGTAGAGCTTTCGGATGACGAAGAAGAGGAAGACTTGGATTTAAATAAAAATATAAATAATGGAATGGAAGGCTCCAGTAACGTTTAATAAATATAAAATTTTTTTTTATTTAAAATAATTTACTTTCATGTCTTTTACACATTATTTATTGATTTTATTTGGGTATTGTTTGTGGATGTAGAAGAACTAGTATTTGTAGAATTATTACAATCGCCTTTACTGGTTGTGGTAGTGTTTGAAAAGTTCTTTTTATTTATACAGTATTCACTACATTCACAACTACTAATTGTAAAGCTATCGCTTGTTGTTGTTGAATATTCACAACTATTATTGTTGTTGTTGTTATTGTTATTGTTAATATCGATATCGATATATATTAAACTATCTAATTTATTATTATTATTATTATTTTTAATATTATTATCTATTTTATTGTTTTTTTTATTAAAATATTTAAAATTCTTTTTTATATTATTGTTTCTTTTATTATCTCTTAATATATATACCATTTCGATAACTAAAAACATTTCGAAAAAGAACTGAATACTAAATATTAGTAGTGTTCCATAACTTGAATCGAATGTATTAAATTTGATAAATAGTATAATTGACAATACCCCTATTAAAAACGTTAATGATAAAACAGTGATTACAAATGTTAGCTTTTTAACAATAATCTTTTTAGAGTTGGTTTTACATTGAACATTTCTTATTCTAAAATAAATTAATGAACCATATAAAACAAAACCAAATGAAAATAATAAACCCATTACAATTATAATACAATTATAAAATAAGGTGATCTTTTGATATTGACCATTTACAAAAAAATCTTTCCTTTGTAAGGAATTATTCAATTTTATTGCCAATTCAAATGCAAACCAAACTACTTCATAAATTATAAAAAATTTCGAGCTGAAGGATTAATAGTAGTGCTTTTGATCCCATTTTTCCCATCTCCATAGGATCTATGGTATAAACTAATCCAATATACCAATACCAATAAATAAGATGAAAATATAAAAAATATACCAAAACCACCAAATAGTTGCAAATAGATCTGATTTTTTAATTCTCTTTTTCCAAATGGGTTTATAATTAAAAATAATAAATTTGCTATAAAAATAAAATTTTATGTTAAATTTAAATTCCATTAATTTTTTTAAAAAAAATAACTTACATATAATCCCAATTATTAAAAAAATTATACATATTATTTTTATTATTTGCTTTTTTATTTTTTTGTATTTTTTATTTATTATTAAAAGAAATATAAATTTATAAATCAAATAACATAAGACCAATCCAAAGCTAATTATAAAAAATAAATCCCAAACTCTTCCTATTTTCCCAAGTGAAACATAATAAGAAGTATTGCACCGGGAACCACTATAAAAGGGTAAACATTGGCATGAGTTATCCACGCACACTCCATGATGTCCACAATAATCGATAATTAATGAACAATTTCCTTTATTGATCATTTTTTATTTTTTTTAAATCTTTTTTTAATTTTTTTAGAACTATTTATTTGGAAATTTTTTTCAAATTATATTATTTTTTTAATTTAATATTGATTAATTAAAAGGTTTGATTAAATTTATTTCAATCAAATTAAAATTGATTTTATTTATTTTTTGTATAAAAATTATTTGTATAAAAACCCATTTTCAAATTTTATTTTTTATTTAAAAAAAAAAAAAGATTTTATTAATTATATATCACCTCTATACCATTGATTTTGCTCTTCATTATTTATTTTTTCATTTTAAAAGATATTTATTCTAAAAAATGTATAAAACGAATAGGGGGATAGTGTTAAAAAATTTATTTTTAATATAAAATAAAAAATTAATTAAAATTTAAAATGGGGGTAAAGAGTGGGTTAATTAAATTTAATATATACATTTATATTTTTTTAATTTTTTAGATTTATTTACAAACTCCATTACTTTCTTTTTTATTCTTATTTTTTCTAAATTTATATAATTTTATATCTTTATTTACATATATTTATAATTATATATCTACTTTTTATTTTTTTATAATAAAAATTAATATTGGGGTTTATGATTAAATGATATTTGTCAAAATTAAATTGAATAGTGATTAAATGATGATATAATATTTTAATTTTTAAAAAAAGAGGTTATAATGAATAATATTTTTTTCCCAAATAAATTTATTGAATGAAATTAACTATTACTTTATATATATACATTATTATTTTTAAGAAAAAAGTCTTTAGTAAAAAAACAAAATTTTATTTATATAAATAAATCAGGGGTGGACTATCAATAAATATATATGTAAATATCTATTGAAAGTGCATTACCTGATTTATTTTATTTATTAATTTTTATATATAGTCTAGTTTCCCCCATTTTTCAATTTTTTAAAATAAAATTTATTATTTTTTTAAAAATTCAAATTAATTTTATAAAACTACCCCTCTTTTTTTACAAATATTCAAAAAAAAATATATATACAAACAAGAATAATAAAAAAATGTCAAGGAATACTATGAAGGCAGTAGCATATAAATCAAAAGGATCAGAATTGGAGTTGGTAGAGATAGCAATTCCCTCTCCTCCACCAGGTATGTGTTTCTATATAAATGTAAAAAATAATAAAAAAAATAATAAAATTAATAATTTTTATAAATAATAAAATATTTTAGGTTGGGTTAGAATTAAAGTTCTAAGTTGTGGTATATGTCATAGTGATATTCAAATTAAAGATTTAATCAATGAATTAAGAGTACCAGGACATGAAGTAATAGGTAAAATTGATAAGCTTGGTGAAGGAATAAAAGGTTTTACTGTAGGGGAAATGGTTGGTGTTGGATTCTTTGGAGGAGGTCATTGTGGTGTATGTAATGAATGTTTAGATGGCGAGTGGTTGGACTGTAAATGTCACTTACCAAATGGCTTGGCCTATAATGGAGGTTATGCCGAATACCAAATATGTATGTATTTAGTTTTTAATTTTTTTTTTTATAAAAAATATTAACACTTTTTAATTGGCTATAGGTCCACAAGATGCATTGGTTAAAGTCCCAAATGGAATGTCTCCAATCGAATCAGCTCCTTTATTATGTGCTGGTGTTACAGTTTATAATGGTAAATATAAAATAGAGAATTTTTAAAAATAAAAAAAATATTTTAATTAATTTCAATAATTTTAAAAGGTATTAGAAATTTAAATCTTAAAAGTGGAGCACTCATTGGTATTCAAGGAATTGGTGGATTAGGTCATTTAGCTGTTCAATTTGCTCGTAAAATGGGTTATGAAGTAATAGCAATGTCATATGGTTCAAAAAAAGAGCATCTTTCAAAAGAATTGGGTGCCAATCATTACGTAGATATGTCAAAAGAGAGCCATTACGAAGAAATTAAAAAAATAGGATCTGTTAAATGTATAGTTTGCACAGCACCTTCCTCAAAAGAAGTACCAAAACTACTTAATTGTCTAGGATCTAAAGGAAAACTTTTACTTGCAGCGGCATTTGAAGATGAATTTAAAGTTGCACCTTTATCATTAATTTTTGGCTCTAAAAGTATAATATCAACAGCAAGTGGAGATTCCAGAGACTCTCAAGATACACTTCATTTTGCAAATTTAAATAATGTTAAACCAATCGTTCAGCCAATCCCATTAGAAAAGGCACCAGAAGCCCTAAAGAATATTAGTAATGCAAGATTTAGATATGTGATTAGTTTTTTAGATGAAAATAATAGAAAAGAATAAAATACTTTTATTTATTTAAAAGAAAAATAAAACCAATATAATATTTATTTAATGACAGTTAAAAAAAATTGAAAAAAAGAACCATCAGTTATTTATATTATTATTATTATTATTTTTTAAACTTTATTATTCCTCCTCTGTTTTTTTATTGAAAACATTATTTATATCTGTATTTTGGTTACTTGGTCCATCATATTCCATAAATAAACCACCAGGTTTATCACCATTTCTATCTATCACAAGCGAGTTTTGATGAATAGCACATGGGGCACAATAACATGCTGCACAACAATCATGCAAACAACTTCCAGATACTTTATCGAAATTATACCTCATTCTTATTTCTGATCTAACTACACAAATCATAAAAGTTGGGCAAAACATTGTGCATAGAAAGTCAGTTGTTGTAAGCTTTTTGTTCATTGCCATTGCCCTTGTTTGGTATAATAACTGGGCTTGTGGAAATAAAAAAGAGGCACAACAAGTGTTACTACAAAATTGATCGTCATTAAGACAACCAAATAATCCAGGTGACCATTCTGAATCGCTCATTATTATATTATTATTATTATTATTACACTAAATTTTTTGATTTAAATAAATAATTACAAAGGGTGCTCGACAAAAAAAAATTAATCAAGATTTCAAAAAATAAAAAAAAATGGAACAATTTCGAAAAAAAAAAAAATGAAATAAAATGGAATTAAAATTATGAAATAAAATGGAATTAAAATTATTTTAAAAAGTTATTTATATATTTTATTTGTTTGTTTTTTTTATTTTTTTTAAATCTCTTCGACATCAAAATTTACATCCTCATCTTCGAGTTTTTGTCTTTTATTTTGATCGAATGATGGTTCAGTTGATATATTTTCATCTTCGCCTTCTTCTCTTAAAATAATTTCAACAACTTTTTCGACATTGTCACGGAGATCTTCATCACTTTCGGCATTATAATAATTTCTTAAAATTGGATACTAGAAAAAAAAAAAAGATTATTGTTGTTAATAACTTTATAAAATTTTATTTCCATTGTATTATCACTTACAATTTTTGAATCTCTCATTGCTATTCTTGAAATTTTAGTACCTGTTAAAAAGATTAATGAATCGATAACCATTTTTCTGCATTCTTTATCTTCATCTCTTTCATTTCCAACTGGAATTGAAGCGTTGTGTAATTGAGTGTTGATACCTACTAATTCATCTTCATCCAACTTATCATTTCCTCTGATTATTAAACAAAGTTTTGTGAGAATATCAAATCTATCTGAAATTAAAAGTGGGTGGTGTTGTTCTGAATAGCAACAATTTCTGATGATACCAAGAATACCTCTTCTTTTAATAACATTTTTATGATTGATTAATGGAAGAATTAATTGGAAAATTTGATTTTCATCCTCTAAAACAATCTTTCTACCTTCTTGAATTTGTGTAACATTTAAAATAACATTTATAATCCAATTATATTTAGCTGATGTTAAAAAATCTGGTTGACTTGATCCTGAAGTTAATACCTGTACTAATTTCATAATATAAAATGCCTCTAATTCTTTACCGCACTAAATAATAATAATTTATTGAAGGTTTAAAATTAATTTTACCAATATAATTGAAATAGTATACTATTAAAATGTGCTACTTACTTGCATTAATTGAAGACAACCTTCTTTGGTATGTGTAACATTTGATAATAACATTGCAAAAATTTCATTTAATTTATTTTTTGTATCAGTGGTACCATCAACTAATCTTGGTACAATATTTTTTTTAGTAATTTCTGCTAAAAAAGTTTCATCTTGACATAAATTAATTAAAATTGTTAATGAATGTCTTACAATAACCTATTTTTAATATTAATATTAGTATTTGTTTTTTTTTCTTTTCTTTGTATTATTTATATTAAAATATCTTACATGATTGCTATCACCAATTAAATAAAGTAAATTATTAATAATTTGAGTATTTTTTAAGACATCTCTAGCATCTTGGTTGTCTGAAACACCTGAGAGATGTTGTAATGCTAAAATTTTAATCTGAATTAATTAAAAAATTAAAGTATTAGAAATGTTCTATTTATCCCTTAACTTGATAATATATACCTCTGCTTTTGGATTAGTTAAAAATGGTACTAATTCTATTAATTGATCCATAGTAATGATTTTTAATTGGTATTAAGAACCTATAAATTATTTTATATTTCTCAATATTTACTTTTATATAAAATTGAATTGAATTTTACATCTTATTATTATATAAGAAATATTATCAAAAATATTTCTTTTTTTTAAAATTATTTTGTATTTTTTTTTTTGCTAACATAAATAGAAATCACATTAATATTAAGATTTTTGTGGGAATATTTTTATATTAATTTTATTCTAAAAAATAGTGATTGCCCCCAAAAAAACCTTTTTATTTTTATAAAATATTATTAAAAAAATACTGTATTTATTCAAAAAATAATTAAAAAAAAATAATTTAAAAAAAAAATTAAAAATAAACATGATATTTGATGAAAGTTCCAATCATGCTTTGAAATATCTTATCAATTTTTTTATTTTTTTTTTATTTTTATTTTTTTTTTTTAACTATTTTTTTTTATGTTAATAATGATTTTTTTTTCCCTTACATTTTATATTATTTATACATAAAGTTTTTTAAAATATTTTATTAGTATTTATTTTTGAAATTTATATTATGAAAAAAATCAATTAAAAAAATGATAATACCAATTAAAATATTTATTATCCTTTCAGTTATATTATTATTTTTTAGTAATGATAAAAATAGTTTTGTTAAATCCGATGTGACAGATACCGAAGAAAGTAAGTATTTATTTAATTTTTTTTTTTTATTGTCTAATAGATTTTAAAATTATAATTTTAAATTTTATTTTTTTATTTGATTATTTTTAGTCAACACTATTTGGTGGTTAGCAACAAATTATTATTTGCAATGGGATTTATCTTTAGGAATTTGTAATAATAAGGGTATTTTTTGTAGCACCGATAATAAACATGTTATTCGACTAGAAATCGACAGTACTATATCCCAAGGTATAGTGGTTCCACCAACTTCTACAGACATTTCAACATCCACAAGCACCTCAGGAACATCAAGTAATCCTACAAGTACTTCAGGAACATCAGGTAACCCTGCAAGTACTTCAGGAACATCAAACAACCCCACAAGTGCTTCAGGAACATCAGGTGACCCTACAAGTACCTCAGGAACATCAAGTAGCCCCTCAAGTACTTCAGGAACATCAAACAACCCCACAAGTTCTTCAGGAACATCAAGTAGCCCCACAAGTACTTTGGGAACATCAGGTTACACCATAGGTACTTCAGGAACAATTGGAATAAGCAATACTCCTATTGGGTTAACATCTGGTGATGATTTTATAAGTGAAGTTTCAAGATCATTACTATCAACTCAAAGAGGAGGGGGTAGTCCAGAAGAAATTACAAAACTATATTTGCCAAGCTTACAAAACTTGTAAATATTTATCATTTTTATAATTTAAAATTTTTTATTTTAATTTCTAATAATTAATTTTTGTATCTAGAACCATTTCAATTTCAATTGCAACAAGCATTAATATTTTGGATTATATAACAGATTTACCAAACCTATATAGTTTGGAGATTAGTAATGAACAAGAGATTAACCAATGGCCAACCTCAGGTTCTCAGTTTTTATATTTATGCCCAAAATTAGCAATAATGTAGTACATTTGTTAATACATACTACCAAAAAATATTTAAAATAACAAATACTAATATTTTTCTTTTTTTTAGTAAATTAATCAATCTCACACTTACAACAGTTCCAGAAGATATTTTCAAAAAAGGATGCCCTTTCATAACTGTGTATATTGATTTCCCAGTAACATCGTTCCCTTGGTATATCAGTGGCCAAGCATTTGGTGTTGAAAACTTATATGTATACTACAACGGTCCCACTGTTACTATCAGCGGTAACGATTGGCAGGAATTAAATAATTTGTAAGTATTTTTTATAAGTTTTTTTTTTTCAACAAATTTGTTTGCTAATATTTTTTTATATATAGAAATGTAAAAACAAAAAGTCAATTTATCCTTAAAGATTTCCAAAAATTAAAAAAAGTGTAAATATTATTTTTAAATTATCAAAATGAATTTAAATAGGTATTAATTTTTTATATTTTTTAGGAAATTTGATTGTCTCAATAATCAAATATACAATGGTTTTAGTTTTAATGGTAACAATAATATGGATACAGCGTATGTAAAATTATCCTTTTTTTATTTATTTAAAGAAATTTATATTAATTTTTAAATTTTAAATAGAACTCTTTCAAATTGTAAATTTCAAACCTTATCTTTTGTAAATAGTGATCTTAGAAGTCTCTCTGTATTAGATGGTGATTTACAAGGAACTATTTCTTCATATTCATTACCACAAAGTTTAGAAGTATTGTAAGTTTTGTTCTTAAAAAGTAAAGCTCTATTATTTAATAAACTAATTTTGAATGTTTTTGGTTTAGAAATATTGAAAATGCACGAAGTAGTTTTTTACCAACACTTTCTCAAATTCCAAATTTAAAGGTGTTCAATATTCCCGATAATATTATCGTCAGTACTAACTATTTGCCTGCATTTGAAAAATTAACATTCGTTAATTGCTCAAATAGTCAAATATCAGGTACAGTTCCAGAGACTTATTGTACAATTCCAAATATAGACTTGAAATTAAACAAATTTATTAGTATTCCAAATTGCTTCTATTGTCATTGGTCAGTCGTATCCAATTGGTTCTCTGGCAATACCCAACCTCTTGGAACACCAAGTGGGTTTGTGTGTCCATTTTCTGTATCACAGAATATATTTAGAGTTTTATCAGTAGGAGAGATGCTACCATTTACAGGTGATAATTTAGGCTGGGGTTTAACTGGTTCAGATCAAGCATTACATGTAGTAACTCCAAATAAAGCTTTTTCATATGATTTTCCACCAAAGTCTCAAGGCATTACTGAAAAATTAATTTCTTTTTCAAGTGAGGTATCTGTTTTATTCAAATGGGAATATTATGACTTGACCATTGGAAGTGTAGTTTTTACTCAAAATTCACAAAATGTAACTGTTGTTATTATCGGTCAATTTGATTCATCTTCAAAAGTGTTTTTAAATAATATCGAGTATACTCCAGTATCTCGTAACGTCACAACTATCCAATTAAAGCTTAACACCTCTTTTAAAGAAGGCTTTGTAGTTGTTAGAATTCAATCAACTAAAACCTCAACAGCATTCAACTCTGTTTATAAACGTTCTTTCCCAATTATTAATTCAGCCTCCATAGCTCCAAAAACAGGTGGTCAAGTAACATTGTATGGTAGCTTCTATTATTTGAATGACAATGGTGAAATAAACCCAATGCCATCCACAATTACACCTCTTCCAGATACAAATACTGGTAGATCTCTTTTACAAATTACCGAAGAAACCCAAGATCTTAAAGTTTATGTTAACGGTGCACAGTGTCCAATTACATTTTCAAATTCATCCATTGTTATTTTTTCTGCTCCTTCCCAAACAAATGGTGGCTTTGTAAATATTATAGTCGAAAATATAAGCTATAATTTTACTTCAAGTAAAGTTTTGTATTATGAGGTTGTAAATAACGAGTGTTCCCAAGCTTGCCAAAACGATGGTACTTGTGTAGCAGGTTCGTGTAAGTGTGTTGGTGACTACTATGGTCCAACTTGCCAATTGAAAAAGCCTGCTGCAAACAGTTATAGCTTAAAGTCCGATGAAACAAAACCATCTGCCACTTATTCATTTGAAAAAGTTGACTTTGAATTCTCTTTGAAATCAGTACAAGAAATTTCAATCGATGGATCAGTTGTTAAACAAATAAACACTACTGATTGGAAAGCCCAACAAGTTCAGGTCGAAGGTTTAGGAAGTGCCACACAATATACATCTACTCAAACCACAGGGGATACTAGTATTGATGTTATCGTTGCAATAATAGATAAAGCTACAACTTATCAATTTGCAGGTGTTTCTATGGATTTAGAACCAAACCAAGTTAAAGTTTCAATGAATATCAGCAACTGGGATTATGATTCATCATTAAACACTTTAAGAGCAATTTTCATTTCGTCATCAAAGAGCACTACGAATGAAGATAGTTGTCAATCTAATGAACAAGAGGTTGGTTCTCAAACTAACGGAGATAGTTTACTTTCATTTACAATTAAAAGAAGTGGTGCTATCCTTTTTGGTCAATTTATTAATAGAATGCTCTCAAATAAAATTATTGCTTTTAGTGATGTAGAGGATTTAGGTGTAGTGTCAAGTATAAACTATGTTGGTATTAATATGCCTCATTGCAGTCAATGTTTGTTAGACCCAGGTAATTATTAATTTATGCAGTAATGTTATTATAATATAAAAACTAAAATTTTTATTTTAAATAATTAGACTTTTCAGTTCTTGTTGATCCCCAATTTGATTCAAATGGAAGTTGTAAAAGTAATAAGGCTTGGGTTGTCCCGGTAGCTGTAGTTGTTCCTATTGTAGCAGTTTGTGCTCTTTCAGTTCTTGGTTATATTGTTTTAAAGAAACATTTCTATTTATCAAGAGATGGCAGATCTTTTAAACTTACTCGTCGTGGATCGAGACCCTCGAAATATAGTTTAGATTCAATCAAATAAAAATAAATTTAAATTGTAGTAAAATATATAATAAAATAAAAACTTTTATATTGAAATTATAAAATTAAAAAAAATGAAAACAATAAATTGGAAATAAAAATTTTTTTAAAAAACTTTTTATTTTATTATATATTTTACAATCCATCATTTTCGACAACTTCAAAACCTTCAACATTATCAAAATATTGAGTTTTAGTAATTTTAATATCTGGATAATCATCGAGACTAGTTTCGGGTTGTTTTAAATCTACAAGTACTTTAGTTTTGAGGATTAAAAGTTCGTAAAAGTAGCATGCGGCGGCAACTCTAGCATTGGTATTATTTGGTTGGTTTTGAATAGGTTTGATGATATCGTCTAAAAATCCAATTTCAGATTTACTTTTGAAATTATTATCTAGAATGTTATGCATATTTTTAGTTTTGGTTGACCAGATTTTCTTTTCTAAATGAGGATTTCTTGGTGGTTGTCTTTGGCCTGGTTGAATATCTTCGAATTGCTGTGGGTAATCTTCATCGAAATTACCAAAACCTTCATTTTTATCTTCTAGTAGTTCTAAAGCACGATCATCATCTCTAGGTTGTTGAGGTTCGAAATCATTGCCAATATCAAAACCAAAACCATCATCTTGTTCTCTAAGTTTTTGTTCGAAATCTTTGCTTGCTGAATCTGATGAAAAAGTTTCTGCTCTTAATAATTGATTATCATTTGGTTTATAGAAAAGATCTAAACCTTCTTTATTTCTTGCATCTAATTCACCACGGAGTTGATCAATTCTTTGGTGATCATTTTCTGATAATGGTTCGGTTTTTAATTTCTTCTTTTCACTTGGGGAGATTCCAACACCCTCTGAAATGATACGATTATTGATAGATTTTAAAAGAATTTCTTCAGTTTCTTGATCGTCCTTTAAATCTGGGTTTTCTGTAAATTGTGGAATACCTAAATCATTTCTAGTATTATCAGCTTCAACATTTGCAAGAAATTCATTATTTTGCATCATTTTGCTGTATGTCATACGTGAGCGTAAATATTGGGCATATGGAGCTTCAACTGATTGTAAAACTTTTGGATAACGATTTTGAAGTACTTCACCGAAGGTTTTGAAAAATGTATTTGAGATATTGTTTCTGATGGTATTTAACATTCTTTGTTTTAATGGAATTTCTTTGGTTTTAGCTACAACAACTGATAATTGATTTGGAAGCAATGAACGCTCTATGGTTAATGGTCTTGGATTTTTGAAACGTTTTATTTCTCTATCATTTAAAACACCATCGGACTCTCTAACATGTCTTACTCTTGTGGTTCCTTTTTTATTTTTTTCAGCTTCGATTTGAGCACCAAACTTATCTTTAGCATCTTGAATAATTTGATTGGCTGATTTTTCTTCGATTAATGTTGCAGTTGTAGCGGTTGTAGTAGTTGTGTTAAGAAGATCTGATGTTCCTTCAGCTTCAGTTGCAGCTGATTTTGGTGATTTGGGTTCTGGTTTATCATCACCACCAAAATTTTCAAAACCCATATTATCATCAAAGTTACCAAAACCTTCATTTTTTTCTTCTTCGTCTCTGTTCATATTTATATCACCCCAGCCGCCAAAATCAACCATTTTATCACCATCACCAGTCATAAGATCATCTTTTGGAGTTTGTGGAATTCTTGAAACATCATAAAGTGGGTTAATGTTAACAGCTAAATCTTCGATAATTGATCTGCCACCTGGAGTTGTTGGGGTAGTTGGTGTTTTAAATTGTTGGAATAATGATTGTTGTGGTGTTAAATTTAAAATATTTGTTTCATCTTTTCTAAGTTCATCTGATTTTGGTTTCTTTGATAATGGTGTGTCTTCATCAAATAAACCAATACCACCTGGTGTATTCATATTAACCATTGCCTCATCGGCTGCAGTTTCTCCAAACAAATCTGAATAATTTGGTTTTTCGCTTGGCTCTAATTTATTTGGATCGTATAATGGGTCAACTACTAAACTATAATAGTAAAAAAGGTTTATTAATAATTTATTACTATAAGATAATTTTATTATTTTATTTTATATCTTACTCTCTAATATCAATATTTCTTAAAAATCTATCGACTTCTTGGTAAACTTGTGGTTTTGACTCGGTGTTACGTGGACCTGTTATTAAAAGTGATTGTGGATCCTCTTCGACTGGTAAATCAATTTTTGATACTGTTTTTGATAAACCCTTTAATTTGACAACAGCTTCTGTGCAATCACTTAATAAATATTTTGCTTTCTTTGAATAAATTCTAACAACACCTAATAATAAATGCGATGTCATACGTAAAGCCATCGGAACATGTGGTTTTAAAATAAATTCTAAAATTAAAAGTTATTAGTATTTTATTTATTTAAAATAATCATAGTTTTGATGAACTTACTAATCGATTTTGGAATATTGGTTTTAAAAACAACATTTTTTGCTAGCTTTTTATCCCAATGGCCAGCTAACCAAATTTTACCTAATGAACCTCTTTTAGCTAAAACGATTTGCGAAAAGAACATTCTTTAATATGAAATATAAATTTATATATTTTTGATGTTTTCTTTTTTTTCTTTTTTTTTTTTTATAAAAAAAAAATTAACGATATATTTACAAAATTTGATTAATCTTATTTATTATATAAAACAATTTAAAAACTAAATAAAAAAAACTATTTACAAAGATTTATTTTTTAAGATTATTTATATGAAGATAATAATAAATAAAAAACAATGAATTAAAAAAAAAAAAAAAATTTTAAAATTAAAAAAAAAAATTAAAAAATAAAAAAAAAAATTTAAAAATTTGGAGGTTTTTCTTGTAATATGTGTTTTTTTGGAAAAAAAATAAAAAAATATATATATAATATTTTATTTGTTTTGGATGTATATTTATTTGTTCTAGTTAAATAAAAAATAAAAGTGATCCTGTTTTTTAATCCATTAATAGACAATGTTCGTTATTTTCATTATCCAAATCGTTACTATCGGAATTAAATCCCTCACTTGAAGATGAAGTGTTAAATATATCGGAATCACTCGAAAAATTATCATCAAATTGGTGTAAAAATCTTCTCCATTTCTTTATCTGTCCATCAAAACTTCTTTTTCTAAAATAATAAATATTTATATTAATAATTATTATAAATATAAAATAATAAATATAATATAAAATTAATATTTTGTAAGAAAATAATAAATATTAAAACAAAATAAAAAGATAATACATACGAACATTTTTGGAAAATACAAGGAATTTTTACATTATTTGTTTCATTCATAAAATTTGGATTTGAATTTAAAAGTTCAATATAGTTTTTGTAACCTTGTGTATTTTTTCCATAATCTATTTGTTTTTGCCTTGCAATTAAAATTCTATCTTCATATTTTTCATTAAAATTATATTTATTATTTTTATTTTTGTTTGATTCTGTATTTGTATTATTTATATTATTATTATTATTATCATTATTAACCATTTTATTATTTATATTTTTATTATTTATATTATTATTTGTATCTCTGTCATTTATATTATTTATATTACAATGTATATTATTATTTTTATTTATATTTATATTATTATTTATATTATTATTTATATTATAGTTATTAATATTATTGTAATTAAATTCATTGTTGTAATTAATCTTATATGTATATTTATTATTTTTATTATTTGATAGTTTTTCTATTTGTATCATTCCTAAAAATCTTTAAAAAAAAATTATTTGGTGGGGATTTTTTTTGTTTGTTTGTTTGTTTGTTGATCAAAAAACAAAATAAAAATAAAATTTAATTTTTATCCCATTTATACTATTTTTTAGAAATAAAAAATTAAAAAATAATAAAATTAAAAAAAATAAAAAATGATAAAAATAATAAAAAAATAAATTAAAAATTAGAAAAATATTAAAAAAAAAAACAAATACCTGAACTACCTTTTTTTGTTTATTCTTTTTGTTAATTTTAGTACTATTTTTATATTTTATTTGATTATCAGTTTTTTTAGTTTTTTTTTTGAAATTTAACCTTTATTAAATAATGATATAAAAACAATTTTATTATTTTATTATTTTTATTTTTATTATTGTTTTTTAATCTTTTTTAATTTAAATTTATAAAAGATCTTTGTTTAATTAAAAAAAAAAAATAAAAAAATAAAAATTTTCATTTTTTTTATTTTAATTTATTTTTTTTTTTTTTTTTTAATTTTATTTTAAAATTTTATAAAAAAAAAATTTAAGTTTTAAAACCATTGTTTAAATATGTCAGAAAATAATATAAATAAAGATAAAGAGAACATTAATGATAACAATAGTATAGAAAACAACAATATAGATTTTATAGACGATAATGATAATATAAATAATAATAATAATATTAATAATAATAATAATAATAATAATAATAATACAGAAAATTCAGATATAAAAGAATATGAAGAGGAGGAAGGAGATGAGGGATACGGTAGAATGATATATACTATAGATGATAGTAGTGACTCTATTGAAGAGAATGAACAAGAAGAGGAAAACTATGAAGATGAAGATAGCGACAAAAAAGTTAAAAAAAAATTGAAAACAAGTAATACTCCAGAAAGACCCGCTATTGAAGAAGAAAATGAGGAAGAAGAGAAAGAAATAGAAGCAGATGATGAAAAAGATAAAGAAGAAACTTTATTAATAGAAATTCCACAAAGAGAAAAAAATGACATTTGCGAAATTTTGTCAAATCATTACTATAGAAAATCAATTTGTATCCAATTGGCAATAACGCATAGAATCTCCTCGACAAGATCAAAAAGCTTACTAAGATCAAATATCTGTATATAAATAAAATTATGATATTACCATAATATCATTGTACATACAAGTACATATTCACCCTTACTTTTTTTATTTTTTTTTATTATTTTTTAATTTTCATTTTTAATTTATTTTTTTTTTTTATTATTTTTTAATTTTTTTTTATTTTTTATAATTTTTAAATTCATTTCAATTAATTTAATTAATAATAATAATAATTATAAATCTATACAATGAAAATTAGAGTTTTAATAACTGTAATAAACAATTAAAAGCATGGCATGTTTAAACCTTTTATTAATTTTATATTTTTAATTTATAGGGATCGACTGGTCTTTTGGGTAGGGGTTATCTTAGAGTATTTAACCAACCATCATTAGAACATTTCGAATTAAAAAGTTTAGCATGGTCTCGTTATGAAAAATATTCAACTTTATATAAAGACCAAATGCAAAAAGTAGATATTACAAATGAAAAAGAACTAGAACAAGTTGTATTATCATTCAACCCACAATATATTATTCATTGTGCTGCAGAAAGAAGACCAGATCAATGTGAAAAAGATAAAGAACATGTTAGAAAGTTAAATGTCGGAACAACTGAAAAGTTAATCGAACTATCTGTTAAAATAGGTGCATGTTTATTTTACATTTCAAGTGACTATGTATTTGATGGAAAAAACCCACCTTATTCAATTGACGCCAAAACAAATCCTCTATCATTCTATGGTGAAACCAAAAGAGACTCTGAAATTGCAATTTTAAATGCACACAAGTTACATGGTGATTCATTCAAATACATAATTTTGCGTGTACCAGTTTTATATGGTCCAGTTGAATCATTAAAAGAAAGTGCTGTTACTGTAGTTGCCGAATCTGTAATTCAAGCAAATCTCTCAAAGACTCCAGTTCAAATCGATAATTGGCAACTTAGATACCCAACCCATGTCGATGATGTCGCTAGATGCAGCCTCCAGTTAATTGTATCCAAACAATATGGTATTTATCATTTCTCAGCATTCGAACAAAAGACCAAATATGAAATGGCTATTGAAATGGGTAAAACTTTAGGTATTCAAAATGTTGAAGATATTGTTAAACCAATTAACGAACCTGGCAATGGTGCCCCACGTCCACATAATGCTCAACTTGACATCACCCATACTGTCGATACCATTAAAAAAAATTTAGAACAACCAATCCACCTATCATTGTTTGAAGTCCAAATACCATTAATTTTTAAAGAACTTAAATTAATTAATTAAACACATAATATAATATTTAAAATAAAGAATATAATAATAAATAAATTATATTGAATTTTTTTTTAAAAAAAAAAAAAAAAAAAAAAAAAAAAAAAAGCCTTTATTTAATTGTCACTTTCGTCGTCATCTTCCTCATCAACTGTGTCTTCTCTTAATAAAATATATTCTCTTGTACTTTGGCCAAACTTTATTGAATCTTTACTCTTTAGTTCTAAATATCTTGATGACTCTAATTTATTGCCATTATAAAAGGTGCCATTTGTGCTCTCCAAATCGATTAAATATGGTCTACATAAATGATAATAAATTAATATTTAGTTATAAAATTTAATATTTATAATATATGGGTTTATACTTACAAAACTAAGGTTAGCATTTCGCCAGTTCTTTTATCTTCTTTTTTAACTTTTCTAAAAACCAATACGGCATGTTGTGATGAGCAAGATGGATGATCAGTTGGAATGTCGGATATTTCCCTATCTCTACCAAATAAAAATGCTTTTTTTCTTAAATAGATTGGGTCCAATGCTTCTTTTTCTTTGAATGGATAAATTACCCATTTATCTTTTGGAAAACTTGCTTCGCTAGGTTCCACCCATTTCAATTTAACTTTATTTTCATCGTCACCACCATCATCATCGTTATTACTACTTTTATCTCGTAACAATGCACCTGAAGGTTTAAAATCTGGTTTTTCTTTTGGTATTTTTCTTTTTTCTTCTTCCTCTCTTTCTTTTTCCCTATCTTCTCTTCTACCAAATTCATATTTGCTGTAGTCAATGTGATCCTTGTCTTTGAAACTTTTTTTTCTGTCATTATTTCTATCGTTTTTATATTTAGAATAATTATTATTTTTATTATTACTACTATCACCTCTTTTATCGCTGTATGTTTGTAATTCTCTTAACCTTTTATTATTTTCATCCCTTTTATAGCTGTTATCTTCATTTATTTCGTTATCATTTCTATTTCTTTTATAATTGTCTCTATCTTTATCCCTATCTCTTCTATTATCCCTATCTCTATTATCTCTACTATCTCTATTATCTCTATATTCTCTTTCTCTGTATGATGACATGGTTTGTTTATTTATAACAAATGAGATTGTGAAAAATTCATAAATGAAAAAAAATAAAATTTTTAAAATAAAAAAATTAAAAAAAATAAAAAAAAATAAAAAAAAAAAAGTTAAATATATCCAAAAATATAAATAAATGTTATGAAAGATTTCATTTTTAAATAAATAGATTTATTAATAAATCTAATTATTGATATTCTTTGATTTTGTTTTATGTATACATTTTTATTTATATATTTTTTTTTTTTTGTGAATTTATGAGAAAAAAAAAAGGAATTTTTGTTTTTTGATTTTGTTTGTTTTTTTTTGGGGGGCGTTATTATTTAAGTACTTTTTCTTAATTGTGAATAGTCATTCGAATTATTAAAGTTTGATGTATTACTGTTATTATTTGGAGGTTGGCCATAATAAGAAGGTATTTGATTTTGATCAAAAGGATTTTGTTGTAAAGGTTGACCTAAATTAAAGTCATCATTTCTCGGTGCTTGAACGAAATATGGTGATTGTTGAAAAATATTATTATTGTTATTGTTGTTATTATTACTATTAATGTTGTTGTTGTTGTTGTTGTTATTGTTATTACTTGGAGGTGACTGTATATATATATTATTTGGTTGCTGTTGTTGGTTGTTTATATTTGAACTATTAGTTGTGGTTGTTTTTTGTTGGTTAATTTGGGTGATATTTAATATATTGTTTTTAGCAATATCGAGTTCATTTATATTATAACTTGGTAAAATTGAAGAGGTTGGTTGAATTTGTGATGAAGATGAAACTGGTGTTGATGAAGCTAAACTAAGTAAATTTTGGGTGATTAAAGCTGATGTGGTTGGATCTTTCATTAACCATGAGTGATTTATTACTCCATAAATGTTAAGTCTTTGTTCTCTATCTACAGTTAACATTTTCTTTATTAGATCTTGTAAATCAACTGGAATTGATCCTGGAATTGTAAATTTACCAACAATCATATCGGTAACATTGATGAATGGTAATCTACCTGTAACCAAACTATATAAAATAACACCCAATGACCAAATATCAACCTCTGGTCCATTATAGTTAATACCCAAAAGCATTTCTGGTGATGCATATGCTGGTGTACCACAAAATGAAAGATTCTTTTGATATGACCAATTACTTAAACCAAAATCTATAATTTTAACGTTCATTTGGTTGTCGAATAATATATTCTAATTAAATAGTAAATTTAAATGTTAATAATAAGTTAAAATAAAAATAACTAAGTTCTACTTTTACATACCTTATGTTTAATATCTCTATGTGCGATATTTAACTTATGACAATGAGCAATACCTAAACAAATTTGAGTAAATATTCTTCTTGTATCTTCTTCTGATAAAGGAACGCCCATTAATACTTGCTCACCAATATCTGGTGAGTTTACCATTTTTACACCCTTGAGTCCATACTTATTTACATAGTGGAATAAATCACCTCCAGGGCAATACTCCATTAAGATGAACATTGCATCATCTTTTTCAAGTACATTAATTAATCTTTAGGGTAAAAAAAAAAAAAAATTGATTAATATTATATTATATTAAAGATAAAATAAAATTAAATTACTTACTTATTAATGAATGGATGGCATAGCTGTTTTAAAATTTCGATTTCTCTTTTACATCTTGTAAACTCTGATTCTGTCATTTGTTCTTTGTAAAGAATTTTAATTGCAATTTCATCTTTTGTTGAAATATGAGTACCAAGTTTAACTACACCATAATTTCCTCTGCCTAAAGTTTTACCTAGGGTATACTCTCCAATCATTTCAGGTTGATAGAAACCGCCACTGCCACTATGATTACTGCCATTATTGTCATGTCTTGAATGCTTTCTGCTTGAACTACTTTCACTATCACTATCACTGTCACTATCGCTTTCATCCTTTCTACTCCTTCTTTTTTCTTTTTTCTTTTTATGTTCTGTTTCGCTTGAATCTGATTCATCAGATGATTCACTTCTTTCCTTCTTTCTCTTTTTCTTTTCTTTCTTTTCTGATGATTTCTCTTTTTCAGATTTTTCACTCTTTTCACTACTCTTTTCACCTTTATCTTTGTACACTCTTGATGGGTTTTCTACTTTTTTTATTTGAAGCGAAAAGATTGAACTTTCACCTTGAAGTTTAATAATCTCTAAATTTACTGGGAATCTTGAACCATCCTTATGCCAAACGTCAACCTTTCTTGTTCTACCCAACCAACTTTCGACACCTCTTGATTGAGTTGGTGTATTTGGTGTGTTTGTACTATTATTTAATGGTGATGAATCATGCCCAGCTGGTGATGAGGCAACGGTGGTTGCAATATTAATGCTATTGTTATTGTTATTGCTATTGCTATTGTTATTGTTATTATTACTACTATTACTATTATTACCACTATTGTTAATATTACTGTTATTATTATCGTGTGATTCATTTATACCAATTACTGTGTTGTCAATAATTTTAGACATTTCAGGTATTAACATACCAATTGTATTACCAACTAAATCTTTTTGAGTATAACCAAACATTGGCTCGGTGAAATTAAAATTGCAAGCTTTGATGATACCTTCACCATTGATTGTAAAAACGGCTTCTTTGGGTGGTGTTTGAATGATTGCTTTAAACATATCGATACCATCGGTTGAAATTTTTGTTACAAGAATTGAAACGAGGAAAACAACACCATTCTTATGTTTGATTGGTAAATTTCTAACCCGATTCAACATTTTCCAAAGACCACCACCGTGATAATTCTTTTCAATGTAATCACCGTGATTCTTTGCATGTGGAGATGGCATAAGAGTTGAAACATTCTTTCCAAAAAGTTCGGCCGGAGTGTACCCTATTAGCTCTTCTACATTTCTATTGCAATAGGTTATAATACCATGGACGTCGGTGTAAATGATTAAACGCTTATCAATTACAGGTTCAATTGAGCCAATAAACATTCTCTTATTCCAAATTTTAACCTCTGTGACTGACAATGTAATTGGAAATACACTTCCATCTTTATGGAGACCTTCTACGACTCTACTTTTATCTATAATCTTTCTAATTCCAGTTTCAAAGTAATTTTGCATATATGTATCATGTTGTTCTTTATATGGTGATGGAATTAATATATTGACCTTTTGCATTTGTAACTCTTCTATTGTATACCCAAACAATTCACATGTCTTTCTATCAACTGATTGAATATAACCTTTATCATTAATAGTTACAATAGCACTATCCATTGACCTTTGTTGAAATGCATTATGTGTATTCATTTTAAGTTATTTCTTTATTGCTATCACTATTTTTACTATTATTACTATTGCCTTTACTTTTATTGTGTGTGTGTGTAGATATAGTTGATGAGTATATTATTATTATTACTATTAATATTTTTGGATTTTTTGATCTAGATTTGTCTGGTTTTTTCTTAATACTTTGGTTCTATATTAACTATATAATATAAAAAAAAAAGTAATTTAATTTGTAAATACAAAATCTATTAATTTTTATTATAAACAAAAAATATAAAAAAATAAAAAAAAAAAATTGGAAAAAAATAAAAAATAAAAAAAAATTATCTATTATAATAGAACTACAAAAAAAAAAAACAATAATATTTAATTATATTAAAATGTAATAATAAAAGCTACTTTTGAAATTGTTATTGTTGTTTATTATTTGGTTATTATTTGTGTATTTTTTTTTCTTTATTTATATATATATGTTATACATATATAGGAGAATATACACTGTATGTAATTGAAGATGATTTAATTGGTACTGATCTCGTCCAAGTTAAATTATATTTCTTTTATCTAGATTAATTTAGGTAAGTGAATACCCAAATTATAATTTAAAAGTATTTAAAAATAAAAAATAATTTAAAAAAAAAAAAAAAAAAAGTTTTTTTAAATTATTTTTTTTATTTTTAAAAAAAATTTTAAAAAAAAAAAAAAAAAAAATTTAAAAAAATTCCCTTTTTTTTTTTTTTTTTTTTTTTTTTTTTTTTTTTTTTTTTTTCCCAATAAAAAAAAAAAAAAATTGAATTGAAACAGAGTTATATAATACTTTTTTTGAATTTTGTTTAATAATTTTAAAGTCAATGTTTATCCAAAGACGTTAAAATGGAAAAAAAATTTTTTTTTAAAAATCCAAAAAAAAAAACATTTTTTTGATATATTTAATCATTGAATATGAAAAATAATTTACTTTTAAATTTTTTGATAAATACGTTTTTTTAACAAATATATGAATAGGAATTATCTTTTTTTTTTTTTTTTTTATTTTTTTTTTTTTCTTTTATTATCTCTTTTTTTTTTTTTGGATACTTATTTTTAATATTATTTATTTTTAAAAAATAACAATTGTTTTAAAAGTATCGCTCATTATTTTTTTTTAAAAAAATTTTTTTCACATTTTCTAATAATATGTAATATATCCTTAATTTAAATTACATATTTGTTTGGGTATTTTAAATTATTTTAAAATAATTTTTTTTTAAAAAAAATTATTGTTTTTTAAAAATAATTATTTTATTTTTTATTTTTTTTATTTTTAAAAAAATAAATTTATTTTTAAAAAAAAAATATTTCTCATTATATATAAAAAAAAAGTGATCAAGTGATAATATCATACAAATAATTTAAATAAATCATGTCGGGTAAGATTTTAAAATCACAACACATCTCGATATAAATTAGTAATAATAACTTGATTTAATTTTCAAATTGTTCTTGTATTTTGAATAAATATTATTTTGAATAAATATTATTTTTAAAAATAAATTTAACATAAAATTTTTAATATAAATATCTTTTTTTTTTTTTTTTTTTATAATTATTTCTTCATTATATTTATCTTTATTTTATTTTCGGAAATAATAAATTAATTTTAATAACTTTTTTATTTTTTTTATTATCAATAAAGAATTGGATGATTTATTAAATGAAATGTTGGCCGAGTCAGAGGCAGCAATTAATGGTCAATCAACAATTTCACCATCAGCAAATAAAAGTATAACATTTCAAGAGGATCAAATATTAAATGATGGTAATAATAATGGAATGGCAATGGCAGAGAAAAGAAAATCAAGGTTATCACAACATCACCAAAATGAAGGAGGATTTGATTATTTGGATACATTGCTCAATGATATGAGTGACGAATCAATTAGAAATTCAATAAAGACCGATAATTCTAGAATAAAGAGTTTACGTTTAACCACAACTTTTGATTTAGAATCAACTCTTAAAGATCTTGAAGAGACATTTATGAAAGATAGTGCAATTCAAAATAAAAGAAAACCATCAGCATATTTAAGTAAAAATTTATCACCACCTCCATCACAACAACCAACAATATCGCCACCACCGGCAGCACCATCAGTAACCACACCACCACCCCCTGTATCAATATCATCATCAGAACCAATTTCATCAGAAACTATATCAGCAGAAGCATCATTACAACAAGAGCCAATTTCATCACCAGAGCAACAATCAGTTGATTTATCAATATCTACAGGACCAGTATTAAAGAGAGTTTCATCAGAAAGAGCTATTATTTTAACAAAAGAAGCTATTGACACAGCAGATCTTTTAGATGAAATGATCGAATCATTTGGTGGTGTATCTGAACAATTACCACCACCACCATCCCATCTTGTAACACCAACACCATCGGCCCCAGTTAGACCAGTTTCAACTAGAAATATTAAATCACCAAATAGTACACTCACAATGACACGTCCAGCTTCTAAATTGGGTGCACCTGTAGATATTCAAGTTTCATCACCAAAAGAACCAACACCAATCCCCACTCTTTCTTCTTCACCACCACCAGTCTCACCAATTTCACAACAACAAAACTCTGACCAACTTTTAGAGGATATGATCAATCACTTTAAAGAAAACTCTACAATGATCAGACAAAATCCCTCAAATATGAACATTGACCCAAATGCACCAAAGCTTGGATATATTTCACAACAACATTACCCATTAACTCAAGAGGAACAGGTTTTATCCGCAAAGGTTAAAGTAAATCAAACTCCTGATGAAGATATTGTATCAAGAATATTGGGCGACAATGATATTGATGAAAATGGTTTATCTAAATCAAATGATGACCAAGAGCAACCACATCCACACCAAGATAAATCATGGTACATTAAATCACAACCAACTGATGTTATTGGTAGTGGAAATAATGGTACCACTCAAAGAGGTGGCATCCACAAAGAAAAAAGAATTGTTGTTAAAAACTGGAACTTTATTACTCCACAAGCTACTCCAATTTTATTTAATGAAATCGAACAATTAATGTAAGTAACTTAAAATATTTTATTTATTTTGTTTTTTTTAAAAATTATAATATTAATATTTTTTATTTTTTTAAATAGATCGATTAAGCATCCAAACATTTTACCTTTAATTGGGGCATCATTTGATAATAATAATTTCCAAACTTGTTCAGAATATATTACAGGTAGTAATTTGGATATTGCAATTAAGAATCTTGACGAAAGAAATGAACTACAATTAATTATTAGATTATCTGAAGAAATTGCTAATGCAATGGCATTCCTTCATTCATTCAACATTGTCCATAGATCATTACATCCAAAAAATATTTTAGTAAGTAATAGTTTTTTTAAAATATCAAAATAGTAAAGGTAAATAAAAATACTAATATTAATATTTATTTTAAATATAGTTAAATTCAGACTTAAAAGTTTATATCAAAGATTATGGCTTTACATCATTAAAAGACGAAACATTAAAAAAGAAATTAATGACACCATTAAAGAATCAAATATTACATTCACAATATTTAGCACCAGAATTGTTTAATGTATTAAATGGTGGTAAGGGTGGATATGATACCAAAGTGGATGTATTTAGTTTTGGTGTTATATTATGGGAAATGTTTGCACGTGAAACCAAGTTATCAGATCTCAAGAGTAATACAGTTAATGGCTACACACATTATCTTAGACCAACACATCCAAATTGTCCATTTGCAATTGAAAAGCTTATTAGACTTTGTCTTTCAACTGATCCAAATGTAAGACCATCATTCATAACAATTTTAAAAGTATTAAGACAACCATTACATACAATTTTGAAATTTATTAAACCAACACAAGAAGAACAGCCATCACAATTTATATCTTCATCAGACCAATTCGAACAAGAGAATGCTCAATATGAGATTGAACAAAAAATTAAAAATGGCTTCATTCCAAAACCAACCAAAGCAACTAATCCATCATTAGATCAAGAAAAAAGGGAAAAGATTCAAAAGATTAGCAATGTTGTTAAAGGTTTAATTGAAGAGCCAACCTTAATGAATCTCAATAAAGCCAGTCAAACCATTGATGCCCTTTGTAAGAATACAGAAAATATAGATTACCTTATCGATACAGATTTCATACCTTTAATCTTCCAATTAATGGATCAACCATATGACGAAACTCAATTAGCTTGCCTCAGACAATTTTCAATTATTGCAGAAAACAATAAAGACATCCACGATATCTTTAGAAATTTATTAGGTATCAATTTACTTATTGGTACAATTGCAAGCCACAATGAAAACATTGCATTCTCATCACTCCGACTTTTAACCTTATTGTTACACAAAGAGGAAAATCGTATCGACTTTTTAAACAAAGGTGGCCTTTCAACAATGATTAACCTTTTGGCTCATCATAACGAAATGCTTAGATTACAAAATGTATGGTGTCTTTCAATCCTTTTAGATTCAATCCCAGCTCAAAATGAATTGGTTCAATTGGGTGGTGTCAATCCATTAATTGATATGTTTGTTCATTCTGAAAATTCTGGTTTCGATTTAAGAGTTGGTACAGCATTAGCTAGAGTTATTTCATTCAAAAATGTTCAAGATCAAATTAATAGCGGTACATACCGTGAACGTTTAGTTAACAAATATGTTTCTTTATTAGGTAATGGCGAATATCAACAACTCAGAATGATAGCATTAGAGGCACTCGCCTGTTTAGTATCCTTCAAAGATAATCAAAATATTTTAATTGAAAATGATATTGTAACTTTATTAGAAGAACATTTAGATTTAAATTCAATTGAAGCTCCACCACAAATGACAGCTCTTAAAATTATTTTACTTTTATCTGTTAATCGTATGTATTATAAATTATTACTGTTTTTATTATTAAATTCTAATCTTTTTTTTTTAATTTTTAATTTTTAGCAAATCACATTCCATACTTAAAGTCAAGTAAACTTAGATTTAGTTTAGAACAACTTTTAAATTCACCCCATCCTGCTATTCAAAAAGCTTCAGAGAAAATCTTATTATTTATTTCAAATTGAAAATTTCCATTATAAATATATAATTGTAATTATTTCTTGTAATTTAATATCTCTTAAATAAAATAATATAAAACAAATAAAACAAATAAAATATAATAAAATAAATTAATAATAATTATTAAGTTTCTATTTTAAAAAACTATTTACATTTATTTATTTAAATTTTATTTGTAGTAATTTACATTTATATATTATATTTTTAATTATTTTTTATCTTCATCACTTTCATAACCTTGCGAACCTGGTACAGTTTTATTTTCCCAATTTGAAAAATCTATCTTTTTGGACATTTTCTATAAATAAAAGAAAATAAATAATTAGTATTAAATATTTTATATATTTTGTTTGTTATAATATAATATTTACCTCATATTCTTCTTCTAGAGATGTGGGTTTTTTATTTGGATTACCTGTAGTTTTTTTTAAAAAGAATAAATTATTAGTTTATTTAAAGAATATGATATATTAATATATATTAACTAAACTTACCTAACATTTCATTATCCCAACGTTGAAATTTATGTTCCATAAAGTGATTGAGCACACCCAACGATACTAATGTAATACCAATCATTGGGATAAGAGTACCTAATAATGATGTTTTCTTTTTTCCCATTTATAAATATAAAATTTACTTTTTTTTACAATATATAAACACTATTTTTATTATTTGATCAATAAAATGGTTAAATTAAATATTAATGTTTTCGTTTAAAAAAAAAAAGATAATTTATAAAAATGAAAAAAAAAAAAAAATTAAAATAAAAAAAAAAAAAAATAATTTTTAAACGATTTTTTTTTTCTTTTTCATTTTTTAAAACAATAACAAACACAGATAAAAAGGAATAGAAATAAATGAATAAATTGATAAATAATAATTTCATTAAAAATGTTACAAAATTTAATAGATCAAATTTAAGTTTATTATCAACTAATAAAATTATAAATAGTAATAGTTTTGTAAAGCATTATACGACTAGCAATGAAGAAAGAGATAGAGAGGAGATCAGAGAGTTTATAAGACAACAAAGTATAACAGATACAAGAAAAATAGCAAAGCCAAAAAATGCAATAAATAGAAAGGTAAAGAGAAATTTAGCATATCAACACAATAGAAATCCAGATAATATTATTTTGGGGGGAATTGTATCATCATCACAACCAGTACCACCACACATTCAAGTACCACCATATGTTAAGGGTGAAAAAGTAATCGATATGGATTTGGATGACCCAATTGAAATTCATACTCCAGAAAGTATTGCTGGTATGAGAGCTGTATGTAAATTAGCAAAAGAAATACTACACTTTGCAGGCACCTTGGTTAAACCCGGTATTACAACAGACGAAATCGATAAAATTGTTCACGAGGAAATTATTAGACGTGGTGCTTACCCATCACCATTAGGTTATAAAGGTTTTCCAAAATCAATTTGTACTTCTGTAAATGAAATTTTATGTCATGGTATACCTGATGATAGACCTCTTCAAAATGGTGATATTATAAATATTGATGTCACTGTTTATTTGAATGGTTACCACGGTGATACCTCTGCCACTTTTCCAGTTGGTGAAATTGATGAAGCCGCTAAAAAATTAATCAATATTGCTCAAAAAGCTTTATTTGTTGGTATGGAGGCTGTTAAACCAGGAGAACAATTCAAAGAAATTGGTAGAGCTATTCAGTATGTATATTTATTTAATCTATTTAATTTTAAATTTTTAAAAATAATACTAATATTTTAATTTTATTTTATTTATTGTTTAATAAAAAAAAAAAAGAACTATGACCCATAAACATTCTTTTGGTGTTGCAGCAGAATTTACAGGCCATGGTATTGGTAAAACTTTCCATTGTGCACCATATGTTTTCCAATGTGTAAATAAGTTTGATTTTGTTATGAAGCCAGGTATGATATTTACAGTTGAACCACTCGTTGTAGAATCAACTACTCCATTTGTAGAGTGGGAAATGTGGGATGACGAATGGACAATTCACACCAAGGATTATGGATGGTCTGCTCAATTTGAACATACTATTTTGGTCACTGAGGATGGTTATGAAATTTTAACAGAATAAAAAAACAAATATTAAATTAATTTGACTATTATTATTTTTAAAATTACAAATAGATGCCCATAAACACAGTTTATCTACATCTTTTATATTTTATTTATATCAAAAATTCAAAGAAAAATAATTTAACCACACCAGTTTTACTTTCACACACTTTCTCACACATGTTAGTTCACCACCATGAAAATTAATTAATTTTTAAAATTAATTAATTTTCATATTTTTCCCCCTTTGTTATAAACTTTTTTTATTTTTTTATTTATTTTTTAATATATTTAAACATTTTATATTTATTATTTGTTTATAAAAAATATTATTTACAATAAAAAAAAGATGACAGAAATTAGAGAATTGATTCTAGATAAATTCTTCTCACCAAACGGGGGCATTCCAGATCAAAAAGATTTCAAAGTAACAACCTCAAAATTTGATGAAAATAAACCTTTAGAAAAAGATCAAATTTTAATTAATTTGGAATATATTTCAGTAGACCCCTATCTAAGGGCAAGAATGCAAGGTGTTCATACTTTTGTTGATCCATTTAAATTACATGAACCAATTAATAGGTAAGTTTATTTTTTAAACATTTAAATCAAACAAAAAAAGGAATTAATATTAAAAAATTGTTAAAGTGGCTGTGTAGCAAAGGTTTTAAAATCAAATTGTCCAAGATTCAAAGCAGGTGACCATGTTAGTGGATATTTTAATTGGCAAGAAAAACAAATTGTTAACGTAACAAAGGAAGTGGTAAAAGTTGATCCTAATCTTGCTCCATTACCACACTTTGTGGGTGTTCTCGGTATGACTGGTTTAACAGCATACTTTGGTTTGGTTTTAATAGGAAAACCAAAGAAAGGTGAAACTATTGTAGTTTCTGCAGCTGGTGGAGCAGTAGGTTCAATTGTAGGTCAAATTGGTAAAATACTTGGTTGTAGAGTAGTCGGTATCTGTGGTTCAGATGAGAAAGCAAAGTTTCTAAAATCAGAATTTGGTTTTGACGAGGTTGTTAACTATAAGAGCTCCACATACGAAAAAGATCTAAAAAATGCATGTCCAAAAGGGTATATATTAAATATTATATTTTAATTGTTTTTTATTTTTTACTAATTTTTTTTATAATATTAGAATTGGTAATAATTTATAATAATCGGATTAATCAAATTGGGATGTTTTAAATACTAATATTTTTATTTAATTTAATTTATTTTTAGATATATATTTTGAAAATGTTGGAGGAAAAATTGCAGATCCAATTTTATTCTTAATTAATAAGCATGCACGTATCCCAGGTAATTATGATTTTTTATAAAAATAAAAATAAAATTCATATTAATAAATTATTTTTAGTTTGTGGAACAATTTCAACTTATAATGCCCCAATTGAAAAGGACATTGGTCAAAGAGCTCAATATTTTATCTTTTCCAAACAAGCATTAATGCAAGGTTTCTTAGTATTTGATTACTCTGAACAAGAAACTAATGAGGCATTAAAGCATTTATCTCAATGGATTAAAGAAGGGAAACTTAAAGAAAAAAATGTTATCTTCAAAGGATATGACCATATTATTGAGGCTTTTACAAAATTATTCAATACAACAAACAACACTAACATTGGAAAAGTAGTAATTGATGTAACCGATCAAAGTGGTAGTTCTAAAGCTCAACAATAATATTATTAATAATAATAATAATAAATAAAATATTTTCATTTTATCAAATTATAAATAACTACTTTTAAATAGTTTTTTTTTTTTTTTTTTTTAATTATAAAGAATTTCTTAAAAATATTTTTTTTTACATTATCTTATATTTTCATTAAAAATTTTTATTTTTTTTTTTAATAAATTTTTCTAGGTGATACATATAAACTCGAAGAAAAAACAAGACTTGTGGAACTATCTATAATATACAGCAGGTTTTATTTTTTGATAGATTCTCTCTAATAGTAATAGAAACCAAGAATTTGAAATTTTGATTTGATTAGAGGGCTAGGTAAATCCATTTTTTGAAACCCTATAGTTGAAATGTTTTTCCTAAATATAAAATATAATTTCTGTAATAGTGTTCCATATTTCCTTTTTCATAATAAGGAGTGTCACCGACAGCATAATGTTAATTTGGACATCAAAGAGTTGCTTGGATTTGCACACCTGCTTCAAGCTGTTTCATTTACTTTTTTTTAATAAATGATGTTCTTGAAAATAGGCATTACTAAATATTTATTTATCTAAAACTATTGTTGGTTTTTCATTTATTTTATTGTTATATTAGATTTGAAATTAAAATATAAAGTGATTGACTATATTTTTTATTTATTGATATTAGTGATACTGAAACTATTTATTTTCTATGACACATTTGATATTATATTGGATGTTATTACCTCTATTGGTGAATTTATCTCTGAGAAGTGTAGCAGTATTAAAAAAGCAAATTTTTTATTATCTTTTATTTTTATTTAATTTTATTAATTAGAATTTAAAAATTCAAACATTTTGAAATCTATTTTATCGTATCCAAAACTGATTCTAATTTGGGTATATTGTGGTGATAAAGATTCCATAAAATTGCAAACTTTAGTGTGACATGAACCAAATGAAGTTTTTGTAATTATATTATTTTTCTTCAAGTTGCATGATTAACCACACTGTTTCATTTTTCATTAAACACTGTTTAAAATTTTTTAATTTTTTTTAATTCACTTTTTTTTTTTAATTTTCTTTCATAGTATTTTGAAAAAGTTTTTTTTTTTTTTATTTTTTTTTTTTTTTCTTTATTATTTTATATACATACAAATAATCATACATTTTTATTTTTTCATTATAATATTCGGCACATATAATAATTTTTAATAATAACAATAATAATTTTTTATATTTATAAAATAATTTACTACTTAATTTATTTATTTAAAAATGGATTTATTACTTGTTTTTTACATTTTATGTGGTATCACTAGTTTCTCATTAGCATTTTTTATTAATAACAAAATATACAATAGCAATAATAATAACAATTACAATAGCAATAACATGAGAAACAACAATAATAGCACCCACACTCAAGACCCACACCCAATTAATAATGATTTAAATGTAGAATTAACCCCTAATCATCAAGACCCACCAAACGCCTCTACCTCTGCACAATCAACCTCAGTCTCTGAACCATCGGCATCAGTATCAGCATCATCTGCACCTGCTTCATCTGTTTCAGCACCTGCATCAGAACCTGCAATATCTGCATCTGCACCATCTGCATCATCTGCACCACCTGCATCAGAACCTGCAATATCTGCATCTACACCATCTACATCATCTGCACCATCTGCACCATCTGCACCACCACCATATGCAACAATATCTACATCATCTACATCTGCACCTGCACCAAATGTATCTGCATCAGTATATGCACCATCTGAACCAGCATCATCTGCACCAGCATCATCTTTATCAGCATCAGAATCTGCATTATCTGCCTCTGCTCAAAGACCAATCCCATTCATCCAGCTAATTTGTCAGCAACCCCAACATCAACATCCACAACAATCACAACAACAAATCCCATTCATCCAACGAATTAGCCAGCAACCCCAACCACAACAACCACAACAATCACAACAACCAAAAAAATCACAACAACCATTTCCAAAGCAACCAATTCCACAACAACTATCACAACCACCACCAAACACACATTTTATTGATCATAATGTTCAATATTATGAATCTATGAATATTGACTCTGGGACAGTCAATACTCATCAACCACCAGAAGATAAAGCTATTAAACGTTTAAATGAACGTTTGGAGCTCTACAGTTTAGAGAACAGTAGAGTTATCCCAGGTGATGGCAATTGTCAGATGCATGCCCTATCTGACCAAATTTATGGCGATTTAAACCATAGTATGGAAATTAGAATAGCTATTGTTACATGGCTCATAAAAAATAAAAACTTAACCCTTTCAAATGGTGCAAAATTATACCAATTTGCCAATGCCACTAGTTGGTATAAATACTGCATCCAAATGGCAAGAAGGGGTACATGGGGAGACCACTTAACATTACTCGCCGCTGCTGAAATTTTCAAATCTCAAATTTCCGTTATTTCATCAGTTGAATCTAACAGCAGCTTTTTCATTGAAATCACTCCACGTTCAGTTGAAAACTCTAGAGAAATTATTTTGTCTCACCATGCAGAACAACACTATGGTTCTTTACGCCAAATTTTATAATTAGTAAGCTTTGGTCCAATATTAAAGTAATTCGAGGTATATTTAAAAACATTAAAAGTAAATAATTATATTTTCTATTTTTTTATTTTTTTAAATTTTTTTATAATTTATTAATTCATTTTTTAATACAATATATTTCGTCACAGCATGTTTTGGCATTAGTCTAATAAATTTCGGTATTAGTACACCTAATCAATAATTTATAGACAGAAAATGGTATGTAAAATAATATTATTTTTTAAAATTAATTTTAAACATATATTAATAACCATCATTAGTCATCTGGAAAAAATATAAGCAGCATCTGAGCAATTGCCCAAACGTATCAAAAAGCCTATAGCAAATTCAATTTAAGATCCCAATGGTGGTTCAAGTAATCGATCAAGTGTGGTTCAAATGGTTCAAGTAATAGGACAAGTGGTGGTTCAAGTGGTAGTTCGCATCACAATTAAAATGTTGGTTCAAGCAACCGGTCAAGTGTGGTTCAAGTGGTAATTTTCATCGTAATTCAAATGGTGGTTCAAATAATCGATCAAGTATGGTTCAGGTAATCGGTCAAGTAGTGGTTGAAGTGGCATTAACATCGTAGTTCAAAAGTTGGTTTAAAGTAGAGGTTCATACTGTAGCTTACATCATAATTCAAACGTTGTTTCAAATAATCGGTCAATTGGTAGTCAAATAGTGATTCAATTGGTGGGTCAACTAATATTTTAAGTAGTAGTTCAAATAGTAGTAAAAGTAATTGGTCAAATGGCGGTCCAAGTAATATTTTAAGTAGTAGCTCAATAGTTGAGTAATTAGGGAATTAAATGCAATTGGTTCAAGATTTATTGATAGCTGTCGCCCTGTTGTATTTTCCTATATAGTAGAGATCATGACTTAGGTATTTTATCTTTATTAATATTTTTATTTAATATTAAACTATATAAATTAATCTTTTTTTTTGTTTTTTATTTTATTTAATTATTTTCAAGTTCTATCAAGGTTGTAATATATAATCACACTCAACATAATAATAAAGCAGTCGATTTATTAAGCCAATAATCTCGCATTAGCTTTTTTTTAATTTTTAAAAAAATTTTATTTTCTTGATTTTTTTAAAAAAAAATTTATATTTCTTCATTTTATTTTTTGCATCACACAATAAATACACATAAATATTTCAAAAAAATGATAGGTCAATAATTATATTTTTAAAAAGCCTTCAAGTAAGTAAATAAGCACATTATTTTATTAAAACAAAAACAACAAATCTATATAAAAATGGGATTCGAAGATGAACACAATACCAACACAAATTAATTTTTATTATATTTAGTGCAAATCAAGTATGGTAACCTATTTCATTAAGTGGTAATGATACAGAGCCTGATTCAAGAAATGTATGATATATTAGTAGCTTAGAATCAGTTGCATCAAGTGTATAACCCATTGTATCAAGTAGAGCTTAAGAATCTTTTACCCCAGGTGGTGAATTATTTGTTTATCAAAGGTATAAGTACCCAATCTGCTTCATCAAGCTGTGCATAATCTCTGGACAAAGTAGTAGAGTCTATTGTATCCGATAGTGTAAAATCATGTTTCGTCAACCTCTGTTTTTAATAAAGTTGTGTCAAGTGGTATATATCCCGAACTCATCAAATAATTTGGGACCTACTTTGTCAAGTTGTGCAATGTCCGTTGTATTTTTAGTATATGTGGTCGTAATGCAAAGCCTGTCATCAAATATTAGAGTGGAATCTGTTTCACCAAGCTGTTCTTTAAAATTGTGTAGTTTATTTCATTATGTGGTAGAGTAATGCAGATCATTTTTCATCAAGTGGAACTAAGTATTCCTCCACTTTGGATAAAGCGCTTGAGCTGACCGGTATAACTGTTGCTGGTGGTTTGAATTTTTCATCAAGAATTTGAATCAAATCCTCACCTTCGATTTGGTAGTTTAGCTGCTCTGACTGGTTATAGGTATGTAACAGATTGTTATATGTGTCTGGGTTGACACAATGGTTACAATTTATAATTAAGTGAACAGTTTATAAATATGTATCTATACATTATATGTATAATTATACAATTTATAACTTAGCGTATATATTTATATATAATATGTGTATATCTTGTATACAGTTTGTAAATATGTATCTATACATTATATGTATAATTATACAATTTATAACTATGTGTATATATTTATATATAATATGTGTATATCTTGTATACAGTTTATAAATATGTATCTATACATTATATGTATAATTATACAATTTATTACTAAGTGTACAGTTTGTAAATATGTATCTATACATTATATGTATAATTATACAATTTATAACTATGTGTATATTATATTTATATATAATATATGTATATCTTGACTTTGTGCTACATTATAGGAAAATATTCATTCAACTAAAATCATTAAATAAAATAACTATATTTTAAAGAGTCTTTAGTAATACCTCCTCACATTTTATAATGGTTCCTCTATCATTTTTTTTATCTATAGGTTAAATATATTTTGTGGTTTAACAATATATTGATATATGGTCTAATAACATTTTTTATAAATTTTTTAGTTTGGATATTTGCAGTTTATATCACTCGATTTTTTTGATAATAAGCCTCTAAAACTTGTATGTATAAGATGCCGCCTCTAAAACTTTAATGTTTATTTTACTCAATCAAAGATCTTACAAACAGTTATTACAGATTTTAGTAACATTAGTTTAGAAGAAAATGACTTAATCAAAGATCTAACAAACAGTAATTTAGAAGAAATGACTCAGTCAGAAATCTAAAAAGCAGTCACTTCGAAGAAATGGATATTCCTAAATATAAAGATCCTCAATTTATAATTCAAGAAAAAAATCTCGACTCAATCAAACATAAAAAAACAGCTTTTTAGAAGAACTTGATGATATTCCTTTTGTTAAAAAAGATTTAAAAAAACAAAAATGTTTAAATTTAAACATTAAATTTTTTATTTTAATTTTATACTAATCAATGACTAAAAATGATAAAACATGATAAAATATGAAACCTAAAAAATAAAAAAATTTAAAGTGTATATTTATTTTATTTATTTTTTATTTAGAATCTATATTTGATGGATCATTGACTGATTGTGGTAAACCTGCCCTAGATTGAACTTGAGAATGTAAATTTTTATTGTGTTGGAGGGTGTTTTGATAATTTTTCTTTTTCAATACGTTCTTTATCTATTCTTTCTTTTTCATTATCAAATTTATTTTTTGTTTGTATTGCATCAGGTTCCAGTGGTCTCTACTTCATCAGATGATTACTAGTTTATGCTCCTTTAGCCCTATATAATTGTAAACTGGTGAAGTATTTGATGGTAATGATGAAATGTGTACTCTGAATTGGTAACCATGTAATTTAATTTCTGATATTTAAATATCAGCTCCTCCATCTCTTCTGTATTTACTCTTATTGTACATCAAATGTATATGGCTCAGTTTGCATATAATATTCTCTTGGTGACTGAGAATAATTATAATCCCTAGTTTTAATGAGCCGATTTAAATTTTTAGGATTTCTAAAACAATTAAATGTCTAATGGATTGGCTATATGATAGTGGATTAAATAATTCAAGGAATATTTTAACTATTAAACTATATACATCCTTTCCTCCACATAAAACTGATTGAGAGAATCTATCGAATGGATTATACCTGTAGAATATGTGCTGATTGCTCTAAATAGTTTTTCTAAATCTTCAAAATTTGAATACTTGAGACATTTCTTTATTAATTCATAGGTAATCTTTGAGTGGTCTGCTATGTTTGAATTATCTAATGCCTCTTGAATATTACCGATATTTAATGTTTTTAAATGTAGTAGTAAATAATTTGTTGGTGATTTAATTTCTTTTTAATTAAATTTCTATATGATGATGGTGGTGGTGGAAGTGTTATATTACCATTATTAATTAAAAAGCTATTACTGTTTTTATTGTTGCAACCGCTACTACCGCTACTCCCATTGATATCATTACTATTACAACTGCTTATACTACTACAACTTGCGCTTCGGGCTAAACTGGTACTATTATTATTTAGATTGCTATATTCACCAATACTACTATTTAAATTATAGCTACTATTACTATTTTTTAAACTGAATGTTGTAGGTTCTGTTATTGTTGTGTTATTACTATTACTATAACTATTTTTTAAACTGAATGCCAATGCTACTGTTGTTGTATAACTATTACTATTAATATTGTCTAAACTGAATGATGATGGTGATGATGATGATGATGATGAAGCTGCTGTTGTGTTATTATTGTTATTGTTATTATTGATATTGATATTATAAGGCTCTATGATATTTACTCGATATTTTAATAGTAATTCTAATGATTTAATTGATGATATTGAAAAACTTTTATTATTATTTGTGTAGTTTGGTAAAAATGTTGGTACATTCATTGATAGGAAATTCTCCAATGCCTCCATATTATCTAAAGAGTATGCACATTCTACTACTAAATCAAACATGTGTAGCTGTTCTTTTTTCTTTTCGTATAGTAAACTAATTAAATTTACATCTCTATTAGTCTCTAAAAAAAGCTATATCTCTAGATTTTATTAATATATTCATCTACCTGTATTATAATTAATCTCTATAATTTGATACTTTTTAATGATTATGATAGAATCCTTATATTCTTTAAACCTGTTTCATAATTAAAATTTAAATTAATAATCGAATCGAATCACTTTATATATTTGTATTTATATATAACATACTTGATGATTGAATAGAATCCAATTTTTCCACAGTATCGAACATGATTTAATTTTACATCCAACTTTATATTATTATTATGGTTTGATTATAGAATATAAAACGAATAACAGTACCATGTTACCATTTGGTATAGATTCCATTGAATAATCACTTATTTTATTGAAACTAGTTATTGGTGATACGTCTACGTGTGGTAATTTAGTAATTGTATATTATTTTTAATTAGTATATCATTATATATTAACTGATGTGTTTTTGTATTTCGCAAATATATATTAAGCATTATTGTTTCTCTTTTTAGAAAAAAAAAAAATTTATCATTACTATTACTATATGTTTCTATTATTATAATAGTACATTCTATAAATAATGATATATTAAATAAAAAAAATAAAAAATTCAAAAAATTATTTTTTTTTATTTTTTTAAATTTTTTTTATTTTTTTAAATTTTTTTTATTTTTTTTAATTTTTTTTTTCCAAAAATAGTAACATTATCAATAATCAAAAATAAAAAAATACAAAAAAAAAAAAAAATTTGATTTAAAAAAAAATAAAAAAAATTTTAAAAAAAATTAAAAGAAGTGCAAAAAAGAGAAAAAATATGATGTGTATGTTTGTGCTGTTATTTTACATCCATGAAAATTTTAAAAATTGATAAAAATGAATATTTTAAAAAAAAGAGATAATTTTAAAAAAAAAATTTTAAATGAATACGCTAACGATAATGGGTAAAAACAGAGAATAACGATAATTTTTAATCACAATTATTAATATTTGATTATTGTAATTATTAGTTGTAATATTACTATTAATTTATTCAATTAATATTTATGATTAGAATCAGAAACATTTGCAAAAACTTAGCTGTACAACAGGCTGTTGAAAACAATTAATTTTAATTTTTTTTTTTTTTTTTTGAAATGTTTTTAAAATAAAAAATATTAGTGCAATTATAACTTTGAAAATTTTTAAAAAATAAAGGAAATAAAAATTTTATTTTTATTATAAATTTATTAAATACATGTATTTAATTTTTTCTTTTAAAAAAACTATTTTTAATGTGGTTTTCTTGGACCTCTTGTAAAATGTTTGGTAATGTTATGTTCATTGTCTTCGATTTTTATGATTTTTACCTTAACTGCAAAATTAGTATTTAAATCTGTAATAAATTTATCTAATTGATCAATTGTAAAAGAGCTTTTAACTTTCCATAACTCATAGTATCTGTTGCTAATACCTAGTAACTCTCTTTTTAAAGCATCAGTCATCATGGAAAAATTAGTTAAACCCTCTCTATCTGAAAGAAAGGTATATTGTTTTTTAGGATTAAAACAATCATTTTGAACCATGTAAGTATTAATACGATATGGAACATCAACACCAGATCTTCTATGGCTTTTGATATCAATATGAATATAGTAATCATCTTTGGGTTCAGGTTTGTTTTCGGCATTTGGATCAAAGAATTCTTCAGCAGGTACTTCATTTTCCTCTATTTCCCCTAATTCTTTTTTTACTATAAAAATAAAATTGAATTTATTAATAAAAAAATAAACTATTTAAATTTTAATTGATTAAATCTTTACATGAATTCATATCTAACCCATCATTTTTATTTTTATTTTTATTATTATTTTTATTTTTATTATTATTTTTATTATTATTATTATTATTATTATTATTATTATTATTATTATTTGTATTTGTATCCATTTTGAAATATTGCTAATAAATATTTGGAATTAAAATAAAATTAATTTATAAGAAAATTTACGAGAAAAAAATGATCAAAAAAATTTTAATTGTGTAAACTTAAAATTTAAGTAAACTTAAAATTCAATTGTGTAAACTTAAAATTTATTTATGTAAATAAAACCATAATTTTTAGCCCCAATAATAAAAGTATTATTTGTTATTGATTTTTTTAAAAAGAGTAATTTACTCTTTTTAAACTTACAGGAGCTCCCATTTTTAAACTTAAAAAAAAAAAAAAAATTTTTTAAAATTTTTTTTTAAAAATAATAAAAAAAGGAAATAAAAGAGGTATTTGATTTTTTAAGTGTTTTAATTAATTTTTTTTATAATCGTGATTATCTATATTATTATAATTAAATTTAAAATCAAAAAAATCAAAAAATTAAATAAAAAAAAAAAAATTTAAAAATTAAAAAAAAATAAAGAATTCGGTGCACACTTTTAAGGTTAATGAAAAGAAATATATAATTTATTTAATAATTAAAAATAGATATTAATTATAGAAAAAAAAAAACTATTGGATCAGAGCTAAAAATAAAAAAAATTATTTTTTATTTCTAAAAAAAAGGGAAAAAAAAAGAAATTAATATAACAATAATAATAATAATAATAATAATAATAATAATAATAATAATAATAATAATAATAATAATAATAATAATAATAATAATAATAATAATAATAATAATAATAATTATAATGATGATGGAACCGACTGTTCAGTATTTAGGTGCATTTAACGTTCTGAAATAATTATAACTAAAGACTCACTTTCTTTAAAAACTTTGCATAAAAGGTTTTATTAATTTAGTAAAATCGACAGTAAGATAGCTTTCCCAATTGTTTGCAAAAAAATTAGGTTTCGTCTTATAAACATAGAAACGTTGTCTATGAATTTGAATATAGAATTGCACTAGACCAATCTTGATATATATTAATTTGAGCATTTCAGCTTATTTACTCGATCTTTTAAGATTATTAAAGAAAAGAATTGGGTTTAATCGAATTGCAATTGACTGGCTTGGGTATGAATGGACCTTTATTAATTCTTTATTTAGTTTAAAAATAGTAGAGAGCAGATCCTGAAGGAAAACTTGGAAGCTGGCTTTAATTTGGTATACCTATTTTTTAATAAATAAATAATTAATATGTTAATATTAGTGTTTCCTAATTTCCTGAATATTAATTTCAAATATTTGGTTTGTCTTTTGTTTTAATGTGACAATACTTACTTGTGCTTGGAGGCTATTAAACATCTATTCATTGATTCTAAAATTGGGTATAATCGATTGGGTTGTAAAATAGAAATATTTAATAAAAAACTATTTAGGTGGTTATTGAAAAAAAATGATTTGGTTATTCTGCAATGACATTGAGTGTAGTTGATGATGTAATAAAATGTATTGACCCACTTTTGATTATTTTTATTTCTAACATTAATTAATGTTAGAATATGGAACCCATTCTCCGCTATCCTCATCATACTCCTCAACAAATGGTGGTTCTCCATTGGAATATGGTGAACCAGAAAAAGAAAAACGTGATTCATTTTTGTTGAATGCAGGGTAGCTAGATTGTCTTTTATGAATATGACCTGATTCTTGATTGTTGTCTGATTGTGAGGCACCAGAAACGGAATGACGTGATTCATTTTTGTTAAATGTTGGGTAGCTTGATGGGGTTCTTTTATGAATATCACCTGATTCTTGATTATTGTCTGATTGTGTTGCACCTGAAACTGAATGACGTGATTCATTTTGGTTGAATGCAGGGTAGTTAGATGGCTCCCTTTTATTTATATAACCTGATTCTGGATAGTCGTTCGATTGTGGTGCATCTGAAACGGAATGGGGTGATTCATTTTGATTGAATGCAGGGTAGTTTGATGGTTCTCTATAATTAACTTGAACTTTGTGGTTGTCATTGCAGTTGTCATTTTTGTTGAAATAGTATTTGATTAAACCCAAACCAAATAAGAAGGAAAAAACCAATGTGATAATGGTTTGACAAAATAAAATAACATAATCGTTCATTTTTTTTATTTTGGGTAATTTATTAAGAACAGTGTGAAATGGATGTTGAAATTATTATTAATTATTTGAAGTTTATTTATTTTATCTATATAAAAAATTATTGCTATTATTAATTTTTATTATTGACTATTATAAAAAATAAATAAATGTATATAATTATTTGTATATTGAAAAAACGAAAAAAAAAAAAAAAAAAAAAAAAAAAAAATCCCCCCCCACCACAAAAAAAAAAAAAAAAAAAAAATATTTTTTAATTAAAAAAAAAAAATAAAATTTTTATAAAAAAAAAAAAAGGAATTTTCCCCCAAAATTTTTCTACAAAAGGAATAGGGGAGGGGGCCCTTCTTTTTAAAAAAATTTTAACAATCTTTTTAATTTATTATTTCCCCCTTTAATTTTTTTAAAAAAATTTTCCCCCCAAAAAAAAAAATTAATAATAATTTATAATGCAGCCATTATTGGATAATATACAAAAAAGAAATAAATATTATAAATATTTATAAATATTATCTTTTTTTATTATTTAAAAGAATATTAGGTTGTCCGAAATCACCTGCTATTGATATAATGGATGTTAAATTAAAAACACTAAGAATCATCAGCCACATCAACGATCTATATTATGAATTTCAAAAACACTCAAATTACCAAGAGAAAATCCAAATAAACCCAGAAGATTTTCATTACATAGTCTACATGGTTTGTTGTGAATGAAGTTGATGGGTAAGCATCTTGCTTGGAATTTGAATAGGGTATTTTTTGATTTTGGATCTTTAATATTAAGTATATTATTGAATAGGTTGATATAGCTATAACCAGTAAGTTGAAGACATTGTTGGGATTCTGTTTTGGGTGTAAAGCTGTTGATGATAATACATAATAAAATGTTGCTCGTTCATTGATCACCCAAAAGATAGAATATCTTTAAAGGCCCCAGCGGGGATCGAACCCACGACCTCTTCCTTACTAGGGAAGCGCAATACCACTATGCTATGCGGCCTTTTTATGGATGTTTTAAAAAATCGTCCCCATTTAGGACTCATAATTATGAAAGAGTACTCGAGAGATTCAAGCTAATCTGCGCAGCAGCATGGGAAAGAGAAGTCAAAAATATTAATAGAATATATAAGAAACTTCAATATCAAGATCCAGCTAGTCAGCGACACCACACAATGAATATAGTCAACAGGCTAGAGAAGTTTAGCAAGATATGGAATTCAGATATATTTAGGATGAAAATATCGATACACCTGGAAAGCTACAGAACTCAATCGATGAATTACAAATAAATAACAAAAATTACCAAAAAAATTAATCAACAAAAACTAAATAACAAAAATTAAATAATCAAAATTAAATTACTAAAAATTCTTTTAAAAATAAATTAATAAAAGTCATATTAACCTTTGCGCCATTCTTATTGAAAGGGTATGTCAAAAATTCGTGTTTAGCATTTAATACAAAAAATTAAGACTCCAAAGCATTTCACAAAAAAAAATAACCAATATGGAAAACATTGCAACTATAAGATAAAGCTCCGAACCGAATTAGAGGATTGCTCAAAATCGAATAAAGGATAAAAAAAAAAAAAAAAAATTCGATTCAAAAAAAACGATATTGTTTAATTAAAATTTTGTTGTTAACAATAATATATACAGTGTGTAAGATTATTTTTTTTATTTTTTTTTATCATTGTTTGATAATTTATATTTATTTCTTTTATTAATAGAAAATTATGTAGTTTAATTTGTAAATACAATGTAATTAATAAAATTTAAGAAAATTTCATAAAAATAACTTTTTTATATTATAATATTTATTTTATTTTCTTTCTGTTTTTTGATTAATTTATAATACATTTTCCCATTCTCAAAGAATCTTTAAATTCAAAATTTTGTATGATTTTGATTTCAAAGTTTAAAAGAGTAAGCAAACAATAATAATCATTTCTTCAATAAATAAAAAAATTATACTAAATTATATCATGAAGAGCTATTTTTAATAAAAAGAAAACAGTAAAAATAAAATATTATTTAAAAAAAAAAAAATTTATTATATTTTATTTAAAAATTAAATGATGTTTCAATATCCTAATATTAAAATCATTTGATGTTTGAATATATTTGCCTGGCCAGGGAAAATGTATTTCCATCAAATAGATTGAAATATGGTATTATATATTATTATTTTTTTTTTTTTTTTTTTTTTATAAAATTATTAATTATTAGAAACTAAAAGTTCTTTTTCTAAAGCTTTAGGGTTGACGATGATGGTGAGGACCAAGATGAATGCCGGTGAGGATGCTCATGATGAGGACCAAGATGAATGCTGATGATGATAACGCTGAGGACCAAGACGAATGATGATGATGATGGGGACCAAGATGAATGCCGGTGAGGATGCTCATGATGATGATGATGATGATGATGATGAGGACCAACATGAATGCTAATGATGATGAGGACCAACATGAATACCAACGATGAATGCTGCTGATTAATGCTGCTGATGAATGCTGCTAATGATGATAATGCCGAGGACCAAAAAGAATGCCGGTGAGGATGCTGATGATGATAATGATGAGGACCAAGATGAATGCTGAGGACCATGACGAATGTTAGTGAGGATGCCCATGATGATGATGATGATGAGGACCAAGATGAATGCTGAAGATTAATGCTGCTGATGAATGCTGCTGATTATGCTGAGGACCAAAACGAATGAATGCTGAGGAATAATAAAAAAAATAAAATTAGTATTTATTTTTATCACATATTATATATATATATATAATTACCTGTTTGTTTGTTCGCTTGAGCTATTATAAAAAATAAAATAAATGTATATTGATAAAACGAAAATAAAAATGAAAAAAAAAAAAAAATTTCCCCCACACACCACAAAAAAAAAAAAAAAAAATTTTAATAAAAAAAAAAAAAAAAAATTTAATTTAAAAAAAATGAAATTTACCACACACACAAATTTCTACAAAGGAATTGCGAACATCATTATTAAAAATTATAATAATAATAATTTTTAACTAATATAGCCATTTAGATTTATAATAATAGTTTTTATAATTAAATTTAATCTAATAGTCCACTTTAAGGAAAGTATAATAACTATATTTTTTTATTTTAATATTCATTCCTTAAGAAACTATCATTGTTCAATTTAATTATTCAAATTATATTTTTTAATTAATTATAAAAAATAAATTAATCAAAAATTAAATAAAAAATAAATAAAAAAGAATCTTGGAGTAAAAAATATATTTTTATTAAACAATAATAAACCAAAAAGAATAGAAAATAGAACTATTTAGTTATTTAAAATCCATTGTTAAAAATAATATATAAATTAGAACATATGAATAAGTAGAACTTTTCAATAAACCTCAATGCATAAACAAAAGGAACAATCTGTAAAAGAGTTGGGTGATCTTCTATCTGGAACATACACAACTTTGTAAAAGCTACCTCTAATGTTAATAAACCAACTTTCTGTGATAATCCACTTTTCTTTAACCCCTTCTGGAGATTTTAATTATAATGATAAATATGGTTTAGTAATTAATACAATCATACAAATTCATAACATTCGATCCCAACAAATATGCCAACGAAATTTTACAAAAACTATTTTAACAACAACAAAATACAGAATTTGATAATTTAAAAAACCAACAGGAACAAATTCAAAATATTATTTCACAATACCACCCACCAAGTAAAGCTCCGAACCGAATTAGAGGATTGCAGTTTATTCTAGAATAAAATCAAATAAATGATAAAAATAAAAAAAAAAAATTCGATTCAAAAAAAAATATTTTTTTAAAAAAAATTTAATTATTTATTTATTTATGCACATTATTAATTATTATTGTTTTATAAATTATTTATTTAAATTCTTTTAAAAATTTTATATAAAATTTATATAAGAAGGGTTTCAATGGTTAATGGAGCATACTACCTCTATCTGGAGAAACAAGATCTGTACAATAAATAACTCTCACCAACAATCTTTAATAGACTACTCAAAATACATTCTACTACAAAAAATTATCAATATAAACTAAAAAAGATTTATTCAAGAAAGATTCATTATTGATAATATTATAACAACGGAAAACTTCATTGCCTTCCTCAAAGAAATCAATATTCCTGGAACTATTACATTCTACTATTTCGAAGAAGCTTTCGACTCGATTTCTCACGATTCAATAAAGAACCTTGCATCATATTCAAATCCCAAACAATATAATAAAACTTATATTGGGGTTCATATAAGTTATCCGATTATCGATACAAACAATAAGGGTATTAGGTTTAGATATATCTAAAAATATTGAAACTAGAGAAAAAATTCCAAAAATATGCTTTCAAATTACTCTGGATATTAGAGAATATCGTTATGATCAATTATTCAATTATATATTAAAACTCAAAAGGAGAAATACACTTTTCAGATTTCACGCAAGATGCTTACCAATAATCCTTCTACATAAAAAAACTTGCCCAATGTGCAATACTTTTATGAAAGTACTGGTAAAGATAGCAGATGGAATTATAATAAAAGTACCAACACATTGATAGAACACCGACTTACAGAAACATGCTTACCAGCAAATACTCTTATCAACTTCCCAAACACCTATTTATGATTTTATAAACCTATTCGCATAACCAATTATTCCTACTACTTCAATTTTATTTAATAAAATACTATCTCTTGCACTAATATAAACTATATCATTAAGTGAGATTCATTAAAAAAAAATGAAAGGTTTTTTATATAAAATATCAATTATTTAATAAAATTATTTTTAACAATAAATAATTTTTTATTTATTTAAAATTAAAATGTTGTGTGCCATACAAGAAAGGAGGATCTCCAATCCAAAGTTTTAAGTAGAAATAATGAAATTTCAATTTTTTATAAACTATTTAAATTATTATTGGATAAGCAAAAAAAAAAAAAAAAATAAGAAAAATTTTTAAATTATTTCTTAAAAAAAAAAAAAAAAAGATTTTGAGTAAATTCTATTAAAAAATAAAAAACAAAAAAAATCTTTTTAAACCAAATTTTTTTTTTTTTTTTTTTTTTTTTTAATATCAAACCTTTTTTTAAAGGTTAAATTATAATTTATTATTGTTTAATAATAATAACAAAAAAAAAAAAAAAAAATAATAAAAAAAATAAAATAAATGTATTAATAAAAAATGGCATTAGTTAACGACGTTAATTTTAAAATTATAGAGGAAACATTATCAACAAAATGGGACAGCGGGCATAGAAGTTTATTTAAAATACACTTTAAACCAAAAGACTATATTTCAATTCGTAATAAAAAAGGGTTTTACAAGTTAGCAATTGTTATAAAAGTATTTGATAACAGAATTTATGTCAAAGATGAAGAAAATAATAATCGACTTTGGGTGTTTCCTTATGATAAAATAAAAAAAGGTTATAGTCATTATTTAGAGGATGAATTTAACTATAAAGAAAATCAAAGATGGGCTCACCAATACAAGATCAATATTGGAGCAACATCTTTAAATCCAACAAAAAAAAAAACAACTAATAAACCCCCTAAACCAGAAGAAACCCAAACTCCAATTGCATATAGCTATGATTATAATTATTATAGCAGAAAACCTGGTAAAGTTACATCGCTCTCTGAAGGAGGAAGTCGTAGTTGGAAACCAAAAACCATCGAACCAACAGTTATCACTGAACCATATGATATTCGTATTATCACTGAAGAAGAGTACCAATTACTTTCAAAACAAAGAGCCTATCACAAATACTTGGATCAAATCATTAAAAAAGAAAAAATTGAAAAAGAATTAGAAAATATGAAACTAAATAAACCAGGTGCATTTGTAATTAGTGAAAAAAGAATTAATAGATACAACAACAAATATATCAAACCTGAAGATTTAAAACTATTGGATGAAATTAATAAAAAATATAATTTTAATGTCAATTCTTTTAATGAATACAAAAATAAAATTAAACCAGAGCAACAACAACAACAACAAGAACAACAACAACAGCAACAGCAACAAGAACAAGAAGCTCAATATCAAGATTATCAATATCAAGACTATCAAAACCACCAAGACTATCAATATTCACAAAATCAATCTGAAACTGAAGTTGTGCAACAACCAAAACCACAACTGCAACAACCACAACAACAGCAATCATCACCACAACAACAAAAACAACAACAAAAACAAACCAACCCATTTTCTTATTATATAAAACCAGTAAAATATTTAGATGAAGATGTTGATTCATATCATTCATCAGAATATGATGATGATGAATATGATGAAGATGAATACAGTCAATATAATGATGATGATGAACATAGTCAATATAGTGAGTATGATGATAACAACGAATATGAAAATAATAAAGAATTCGATGACGATAATAGCAATAATAATCAAGAAAATAGTTATAGTGACGACAAAATTAGTGTTACATCGTCATCAACTTACGATTACCAATATCAGTTTACAACAACTAATAATAATCAAGTCTATGACAATTTGCACTTATCAAGCTATAATCCAGATACAGATCAATATTATTCAGGCTATTCACTAGGTTTAAATAATAACAAAGTTGAAGATCAATTAAAAAATGAATCTAGTAAAAAAGATGAAATATTCAAAAAGATTGAAAAAGATTATAAAACAAGTTCAAACCAAGATTACCAAGATGAATATGAAAAACTATTAAATACTTTTAATTCAAATTTTATTCTCCACAGCGAGTTTGACAAAAGAAGAATCGAATTAGTAAGAGATTATTTTAATATTGATTTAACCAAATATAAAATAAATTAAAATGTTTGAAAATTAGCTGTGTGCTGGTGGGGTGTGTTGGCGGGGGAAAAGTTTTTTTTTATTATTTCTTTTTTTTTTATTATTTCTTTTTTTTTTTTTTTTTTGGTGTGTTGTCATTATTTTTATTTTGTTTTTTCATCTTTTATAATATTTTTAAAAATTTCACTATGGAACAATGTTTTTATATAAATATAAATATTTGTTTTTAATATTATTTATATTATTAATTGTTTATAAAATAAATGGTTTGTTTCAATGCGAAACTTTGGACCCAGAATTATGTTTGGCTTCGTATCCCAATTGTATTCCTTTAATATTGAAAAGCTGTTGTGCAGGTCAAACAGGTTTATGTGTAGATATGGATAGTGCGGTAGATTATGTTTCAAATAAAAAAGATAAAGTAACAAACTGTATAAAAAATATACAAACAGGTATAATATTCGAATTATATGGTCCGTTAAACTCTATACCTGGCTTTAACATTTATCCGCCACCAAATGGTAACTATTTTTAAAAATATTAGGTTTTAATTAAAAATATTTATTAATAATTTATTTTAAAATAATAGAGACATGCAAGGATATTGGTTGTGAAGCAAAGGGTTTAAGTTGTATTTATCAACCTATTGCTAATTGCGAATCCACATCACCTTGTTGCCAACCACAACCTATTTGTTCAGACTTTACAAAACTATTAATGTCAAATATATCTCATGGAAGAGGTAATTGCGATGCCCAATGCCCTGAAGGATTTAACTGTAGATATATCGCAGATGAAGAAACTTGTTTACCCTCAAAATGCGATCTAGTTGAATGTATAGCTGGAACCGAATGCTTGCCATTAAAAGGTTTAGATATAGTTTCATGTTTTAAAAAAATTGAAATTAATGGTAATATTTTATATATAAATTATATAATATAATTTTATTTATATTATTTCAAAAGTTCTAACAATTTTAAAACAACAATATAGATAGTCCCAATGCTAACTGTGATAATGTTAAATGCCCAAACCAATTTGTATGTGGCAAAGGGGTATTTTCAAATGCAGATTGTTTACCTCAAGATATAGATTTTATATCAGAAATATTTAACTGTAGCAAGTGTCCTAAAGATTGGAAATGTGATAAATTTGGATGGGGTGGGTTATGTATAGAATGGAAACCCTCCAGTCCAGGTGATGGTGTACCATGTTTAGGTGGATTTTGTCTATTCAATCAATATTGTAATGAAACAAGCCAACAATGCGAATTTGAAAGATGTACCTCTACAACTTGTAATAAAGATATGAGTTGTATTCAATACCAACCATCACACCCAAGAGTTTGCTCATCGACCAACATTATTCCATTCACCCAAATCCCAGATACAATAATACCCTATTCGGAAAGATACAAGGACCAAATTAGAGCACAAAGATAAATAAATAAAAAATGAAAACAATAAAATAAAAAATAAACTATTCGAAAATTTTTAAATAATATAATATATCTTTTTAGTTTCTTTATTTAAAACTATTAAAATTTTCAGATAAAACTTTTTTAAATTCTAAATAGTTTCTATTTGATAATAATGGTTTTAACGATTCTTTAAATTCGTCTGATGTGAGATATGATTGAATTTCCTTATGGTAATCATTAAAGAAAAGTGAATACTTTTTAGCAACGAGTGGTGGCATGGTTGATGGACCCAATATACCGATGATTTTGGTATTGTTTAATAGCTCTTGCTTTCTTGATTCCCCATTTAATAGCTCGGCATCATATACTGTAGAATCTATTGAAGCAATATCGAATTGACCATTTAAAACACCCTCGATTGATTTTAAGTGGCTTGTGGTTTTAATTGTTTTGCTAAAGTAGTTATCGATTGATTTTGATAAAAGATTGTCTAAAAGATGCCTTTCTAAAATTTGGTAGCCTGAATAAGACTCTTTTTCGTTGTAACCAAACACCTTCCCTTTTGCGCTGTGTAAAGAGTCGATACCGCTATCTGATCTAACAACTAAAAAGCTATAGTACTGTGGCTGTTGTTGGTATATCGACTCGGTTCTAACTGGTGATACCAATGGTTCTAAAATATGATCCCCTAAAGCATACGATAAACCACACATAAATGCGAAATCGATACCATATTGAGCCATGAGTTTATGTGGTTTTTCTGACATGTTTGGATGTTTATCTTTTTCCATCTCTGAATAAACATCAATGAATTTAGCATTGATATTGAATTTCTTTGCAATCGATTCAACAACGGCACTGTAGAAATCCTGGGCATTTGAACTAAGGAATGATGCGAATCTAATTTCTTTGTACTCCCTTAAGCCTCTAAAGTTAACCTTGCCATCTGGAGTAAATGAATAGTATTTGGTTCTAACAAATGAGATTTCAGGAATAAGTTGATTTTTTGAACTGTCATCTTCTAAATATTGGGAAAATGATGAAGATGGAATGGCAATCTGAGCATTATGGATACGAACTAAATGATAATAAAGTGGTGATAAATATTGATTTGCATCTTTGTGAACTGTAAAATTTCTCCATTCGTTAACCACGTTAAAATCTTCAATGATAACAATATTGCCATAGTTAAACATACTTCTACTTGGAAGATGTGAAAGGTGCTCTTCAGATTCTGGTATATCCCTTTGAATGGTGACATATGCTAATATCTTTGGGAACTCTGGGAGGGCGCTAACCAATGCGTCATCGCTTTGAATGATCTCGGGGAGTTTTGAATTATCTAAACTTCTAGTACCAAAGAAACCTACACAACAAAACTTTTGCATTTCCAATGCTCTTGGGTAGTTATTTAAAATACAACGTAGTTTTTCATTACCATCTAAAGTTACGCTGAAATGTGGTCTATCTTTATTAATTGAGTTTGATTTTTTAAATAATGAATTGGTTTTGTGTAGTCTCATAAACTCTTTGAAATAACTAAACATTAATTCCATGTATCTTTTGTCGTCATCTGTGTATTCTTTATTTACTAGTGGGTGTTCGTTAATTCTATCTTCATCTTTTAAAAATACAACTGGTGGTAATTCGTATTTTACTGAAGTTGGTGTACTTTCTATAATCTTTTCTTTATTATTTTTGTTTCTATCTGAAAAAATATGATAGTTTGTATCCATTTTTCAATCATCAATTAAAAAAAATTCAAAAAAAAAATATCTTTTTTTTTTTTTTTTTCCAATGAAACTAAAAAAATAATAAAAGAAAAAAAAAATAAAAAAAAAATAAAAAAAAAGTAAAAAAAAAGTAAAAAATAACCCCAATTAATTTTTCCCCAGGTTCACTTCCACAAACATGATTTATATCATCATTAATTTAAATATTTATAAATATTTATAAATATTTATAAATATTTATATTCTTTATAAAAAAAAATAATTATATTCCTTGAAAGATTAAAATAGAACACACAATTTATCTTTACAAATTTTTAACACACCCACAAAAAAAAAGATTAAAAAATAATTATTTTCAAATTTACATTTATTTAAATTTAATTTAATTATTTGTTAATTTAAAATTTCCTTTTTAAAAAAAAAAAATAAAAAAAATAAAAAAATAATTATTTTAAAATAATTATACTTATGAATAATGTATTTTTTTTTTGCTGTTAAAAATTCGAATCTTGTCGTTATAAATAAACTAATGATTATTATAATAAAAAAAAAATTAAAATAATGAAAAATTTTTTTTTTTTTTTTTTTGTATGAATTTATTTATTATAATTATTAGTATAATTATAATTATTATTATTTTTTTATTATTACCTTAATTATAATATTAATATTTTTAATTTTTATTTTTTTTTATTTTTTTTATTTTTTATAATTTTATTTTATTTTATTTTTATTTTTTATTAATTATTTTTTAATAATTTAAATTTAAATTATAAATATACATATTCTAATTTAATTTGATTTAAAAAATAATAATTAATCTATTAAAATCAAAAATAATAACAAATTTAATTTTATTTTATATTTTTTTTTTTTACCACAAAATCCAACTTCATAGTTTTTTTTTATTTTTTATTTTTACTTTATTTCAACAAACCAAATATATAAATAAGTTTTATATATATATAAATCTAAACTTTAAAAATTTTTTAATTAATATTTTCAAAAATTTAAAACATGTCTTCATCAGTTCACCCAGGAGATAAATCCTCAACTTCAAACACAGCAAATATGAATGAACCAGGTATGTAAAATAATAATATAAAATAAATGAAAAAATTATTTTAATTAATAATAATCAAATGTTATATATATTAATATCTTTTTTATTTTTTTTTTATATTTTTTTTTATTATTATATAGGTAAAAGAGCTAATGAAACAGACCTTCAAAATGATGCTAAAAAATTAAAGACAGATTTAAATGAAACTGCTCACCATCTTGCTGAAGGTACTACTCATGCCTTAAATGCTACTAAAGATGCCACATTGAACGCTTTAAATGCCACTAAAGATGCAACTGCAAATGCTTTAAATGCAACTGCAACTGCATTTAACAATGGTCTACACTATGTATCAGAATCAATACAACCAGCTCTTGAAAAGACAAAAGAAATGGGTGCAAATGCTGCCACTGTTGTCACTGAAGGTGTAGAAAATCTAAAGAAGAAAACAGAAGAAATAATGCACGTCACTAAAGAGAATACAGAAGAAACAGTTAAGAAATGTGAACATTGGACAGCTGAGCAAAAGAATGCAGTATGTGATAAATGTGCTGAACTCTCCAAAGATGCCAAAGAAACTGCCCACAATGCTGCTGAAGCTACAAAGAAAGCAACCAATGAAGCTGGTGAAAAGTTAAATGAAGCAGCTAAAGATGCAAAAGAAAAAACACATGAAGCTGGTGAAAAATTAAATGAAGCAGCTAAAGATGCAAAAGAAAAAACAACAGAGTTGGCCGAAGAAGCCAAAGAAAAAACCAATGAATTAGCTAAAGATGCTAAGGAAACTGCAGATGAAACTATAAAGAAATGTGAACATTGGACTGCTGAACAAAAGGATGCAGTATGTGAAAAATGTAATGAAGTTGCCCATGATACAAAAGATGCCATTGATCATGCAGCTGAAGCTACCAAAGACTCTGTAAATAATGCTAATGAAAAAATCCAAAAGAAAGGTAGAGGAAGACCTAAGAAAAACTCTAACTAAACTCTAACCTTACAAAAAAACAATCAATAAAAACCTAATTTAATTTTTTTTTTTTTAAAAATAAAATCTTTTACACATGTTATAAATTTATTATCTTTCCTTTTTTATAATAAAAAAAAATTCAATATTGTTTATTTAGTTTTAATTAGTTGGTAATACATTAACCCAATCTGGGGTTACATTGAATGAATAAAAGAAAGTGGCCAATTCATTATCTTTACCATCTTTGAAGTACATTTTGATTGTGTATTCACCCATTGAAGATGATTGACTAGAAGGTTGCTCCCAACCAAATGATGGGAATAAAAATTCTAAATTATTTGAATTACCATGTACCTCACCAATTTTTTGAACATCTCTTCCAAATGGCATTGATTTTTTAAAAGTATGAATATGGATTTGTAAATCATTTAATGGTTCGCTAACCATATAGCCCAATATAATTTTGTAATGGCACCCTCCTTTTGCATTAAATGGTTTTGACGTTATATCTACTCTTCCGCTTCCTACTTCTATTGGAATAGTGAGTTCTGTACCTTCTGGACGCTCTTCGAAAATTACTTCAAATTTTTTGAAACAAATTTTTGTATTATTGTGAATCATTTTTTTTTATATAAACCTTAATAAAATGTTAATGCACAAAATAGAATGAAAATGAACTATAAAAAAGTTTGTATTATGTATATATATAAATATATAATAAAAAATAATGAAAGTTAATTTTTTTTTTTAATTTATAAACCCTGTATTATTAATAATAAAAAAAAAAAAGAAAAAAACAAAAAAAACAAAAAACAAAAATATTAAAAAAATTATAATATATCAAATATAAAAAAACTATCACCCACACACATATTTATTTATTTATAAATAATCATCACCCCACAAATTAAAAAAAAAATGTGGTTTATTTTTTTTATGTATATTAAATCAAATGATTAAATTTAACACCTGATCATCATTATAATAAAATAATATTATTTCACTTTTTAAAAGAGGATTAAATTTATTTAATGTTTTTAAGAATGTATGATAAAAAATAAATATAAATACTAATATATAATATTTTATTTTTTTATTTTTCCTTTATTAAAAATTAGTATTTTTTGTTTAATTTATCTTTACATAGGTTTTATATTATGCAATAATTATTCAACTATAACAATTTTCCTTTTTAAGAAAAAAAATTAAAAAAAAAAAAAAAAAAAAAAAAGAATTTTAAAAAAAAATAATTTATTATTTTTTAAATTAAATTATTAATTTAAAATACCAAAATGATTTTTAATAAAGCTATAAAATAAATTTTTTTTTCATTTTATTTTATAGAATTATTTATTCAATAGATATATAAATAAAAAATGGATAATACAACTCATAAAGTTGAAACAACCACAACCACCACAAGTAAATATTAAAATATTTTTTATATCTTAATTTTTTTTATGTTTTTAATAAAATCCAAAGGTATCTCTAACAAATCTTTTTTTCTATATTAAATAATTAAATTTTTAAAATACCAAGCAACATCAAATGGAGGTTTTATGGATCATTTAAAAGATATTGCACACCATGGTAAAGACTATTTAAATAAAGGATGGGAATTTACCAAAGAAAAAGCCAATGAAAGTTACGAATACTCCAAAGAAAAAGCATCTGAAGGTTTTCAATTTTCAAAAGAAAAAGTCGGTGAATTTAGCCATGCTATAAATGAATCACTTCCAGAGAAATTACAATACCATCCAGATGGCACAGTTAAAACCACTGAGACCAAAAAAGTTCATGAAAACCTTGATGGTAGCAAAACTGTTGAACATGAAAAAACAACAACAGTCCACGACACTAAAGTTTAATCAATTATTAAACTAAATTAAAAACAACAATAAAAAAAAAAGAAATAAAAATAATATTTACTATTTAAAAAAAAAAAACTATTATTTATTTATTTACAAAGCTATTATTTTTTCATATTTGATAATTTGGGTATAACTAATTTTTTTTGTTTTAAAATGTCGTGAATATCTTTAAATCCTCTGGATGTAGCTGTACCAATACTATTATTACTATTACTATTTATATTTTCTTTATTATTCTCTTGATTTAATCTATTTTCTTTTTCTTTCTTTTCTTTTTCTTTTTGTCTTTTTTCTTTTTGTCTTTTTTCTTTTTCCAATCTTTCTGCTTCAGCTCTTTCTTGTTCTATTCTTTCCTTTTCTTTTTGTTTTTGCTTTTTTTCTTTTTCTTTTTCTTTTTCCTTTTCTTTTCTTTCCCTTTCTCTTTCTCTCTCTCTTTCTCTCTCTCTTTCTGTTTCTCTTTCTCTTTCCCTTTCTCTTTCTAATTTTTCTTGTTCTTCTCTGTCCTCTTTTTCTTTTTTTAACCTCTGTTTTTCTTTTTCAAATTTTTCTTGTTCTAATTTTTCATGCTCTTCTTTTTCCTTTTTTGAAACTCTACCCCTTTTTTTGGGCTTTTCTTCTTGTTGCTGTTCATGTTGATTTTCTTCGTCCTCTGAAACTCTTTTTGATGTCGATCTCTTTTTGGGATTTGTGGGTGCTGGTTCTGATTGGGAATTTTTTCTTGGTCTACCTTTTGTTTTCTTTTGTTTCTCTTCCTCTTTTTCCTCTTCCTCTTGCTCTTCATCTGTGTGTTGCTCTTGTTCCTCTTTGGTATCTTCTTTCTTTTTCAAATTTGATCTGGTTGGTTTCTTTTTAACAACTCTTTCCTCTCTATCTTCCTCCTCCTCTTCTTCATCTTCGATGACTTTTCTTTTGTTTCTAGTTTTATTTATTATTTGGTCAAATGCTTCATATGAATCTTTTTGTGTTTTATTTTCTTGACCATAATTAACTTTGACATCATTTATATCGTTATTGCTATTATGATTCATATTTAAATTTGAATTATAACTATTATATCCATTATTAAAACTGTTATTGTTTAATTTCAATAATAATTTTGAAACCTGATCCCTAAGTGAGGCAACCTCTTGTTTTGAGCTATCCATGTTTGAATCAAACATTAATTGTTTCATTTCACTATCTTTAACTAATCTTTCATTTCTTTCTTTTAAAATTGGTACAACTTCTAAATCCTTGTTTAACTTTTCAATTGATTTCTTATACGATGAATTCTTTTCAGTTAATTTAGAAACCTCTTCTCTTAATGATTGCAATTGCTCGTCACGCTTACCTTGTTGGTGGCCTGTAGTTTGAGATATTTCAATTTTTAATTGTGATATTTCTTTATTCTTTGACTGTTCAAGTTGGCTTAATTGTTCTTTAAATTGCTCCTTTTGTTCATTTATTAATTTTTCATTCTCTTTATTAAGCTTATCAATTGATTTCTTATACGATGAATTCTTTTCAGTTAATTTAGAAACCTCCTCTCTTAATGATTGCAACTGTTCGTCACGTTTACCCTGTTGATGACCTGTGGTTTGGGATAACTCTACTCTTAACTTTGAAATGACTTCATTCAACTCTGCAATTTCTTGACCCTTTGATTCGTTGATATTTGATATTTCTTCACCTCGACTCTTCTCTAATTGACGAATTTGATCCTTATGCTCTCCTTTTAATTTCTCGATTGATTTCTTGTGTGATGAATTCTTTTCAGTTAATTTCGATACTTCATCTCTTAATGACTGTAACTGCTCATCACGTTTACCTTGTTGATGACCTGTAGCCTGTGATAACTCGAGTTTTAATCTTGAAACTGTATCGTTCAACTCTTCAATTTCCTGATCCTTTGATTCATTAATACTTGAAATTTCCTCACCTTTACTTTTTTCCAACTGTGCAATTTGGTCCCTATGTTCACTCTTTAATTTCTCCATTTGTTTTTTTAAATTTGAATATTTCTCTTTTAAATTTTGCAATTGCTCTTCATTCTTTGAAATTTCTTGTTCTTTAATATGTAAAATTTGTAAGTGATGTTCATTAATTGTTTTAATTTGATTTTGGAATGACTCTTTAAGCTCTGACACTGAATCTAAATGTTGATCTTCTATTTCTATAATATGATTCTTTGAACCCAGCAAAGAAATCTCTAAATTTTGATTTTCATATCTTAACTGTTTAACTGACTGTTGATAATTATCTATATCTATATCATATTTATTTTGAAGCTCTTCAATTTCCCTATTCTTTATTTCAATTTGATTTTCAATATATTTTTTAGTCTCTTCAAAATATTGATTCATTTCGCTCTATAATGAAAAAAATTAAAATTTGTTAATAAATAAAATAAAAAAGGCTATAACTATTAACTATTTAAACTTACATTTATTTTTAAAATTTCTTGGTGACGTGAAATTTGTTGCGATTCTTTTAAATCTTGAATTTCAATATCCTTCATATCTTTTTATAATACATAAAATAAATGATTAATATAAGATCGTAATAATATTAATATAAATAATGAAATGATTTACTTACAATTGGTGTATTGTAATTTATTTTGACCTTGTTTTTCGATCAATTGCAAAAGTCTTAAATGTGAAAGTTCATATTCATTTTCAAGTAAACTGCTCTCCAATGATTCGATTTCCTTTGAATAAAAAAAAAACTGGTCAATAAATTTAATAATAAGATTAAATTTTAAAATTTTACATACAACTTTGAATCCCTCTAATAACTCTTCATTATTATTTTTACTGTCATTTTTGATTGTATTACTATTACTATTATTAATATTATTATTATTATTATTAACATTCGTATTATCGTTTATATTGTTTGTATTACTATTATGGGCAATACTATTAGTATCATTGTTTTGACTATTAACTTTGTAACTATCTTCTTTTTTTTGGCAATCTTCAATATTTTTTATTGTTGCACTATTTTCTATTACATCTAATTTAGCCTGTTCACTGTTTGAAGCCATCGTACCATCTTGATTATTTATATCCAAAGGCTTAATTGAATCTATTGTATTTCCAACATCATTGCTATTAGACACAGGAGTTGTATCAGCAATTGTATTTGCTTCTATATGATTACAATTATCAACTGTTAATGTATTGTTGTTATTATTCAATACATTTTGGTCAATTTGTACTTGATTATTTGTTTGTAAATCTAAATGCTGTTGAATGTCAATATCCATTTTATTTATAAAGTTGATACATTTAATTAATTGTGTATTTAAAAATTATTATATTGTTAAAAAAAAAATTAAAAAAAAAAAAAAAAAAATTTTAAATAAAAATTAAATTTTAAAAAATTTATGAAAAAGGAGGCAAATCCAAAATAATAATCAACAATTATTTTATTTAATATTTCTTATATCCTATTATTTATATTTTATTAAGAAAGTAAAAATAAAGTAATCTTTTTAGATATTTTTTTTTAATTTAAAAACAATAAATAAATGCTATTACTTTTTTTTTTTAAATATTTTTTTATTTATATTTTAAAAAACTATTAATAATTAACTTGATGCGGACATGCTAAATCAAAACATTATTTATAATCTTTTCTCTTTTTTTTGTTGTTTTTTGGTTTTTTTTTTTTTTTTTTTTTGTTATTTTTTTTAAATTATTTTTTTTTTTTAAAAAAAAAAATTGGCTCCAGAATTACATCATTATTATTATTATCATTTATTATTATTTATTATTGTTGTATATAAATTAAATTAACTTGAGGTTTTATAATATAAGAAAGTATTAAAAAATCTAACAACCTAAAAATTGTTTGAAAAAAAATTATATTAATATATATGAAAAAAAAATATTTTGATATAATATGTTATTGAACTACTTACATCCCCTTTTTTTATTATTAGGGTTTTGGGTAAGATCTGGTTTGCTGTGTAATTGTGGTGGTTCGTTTGGTGTATCTATCATACGCTTTTTGATATCTTTAGCTAAACTGATGAAAGCTTCCTCTACATTTATACTGTTTTTAGCAGAGGTTTCTAAAAATTTAATACCATATTCATCAGCGAGAGATTTACCTCTTGCACTATCAACTACCTTCTTTTCTGCCATATCGCATTTGTTTCCAATTAACATTTTATTAACTGAATCTGTAGCATGTTGTTCAATATTTCTAATCCAGTTTCTAATATCTAGAATAATAAATAACAAAAAAAAAAGAAAAAATTAGAATATTTTTAATTGATGCGTATTAATTTTTTTATAGACCATACTGCCAAATGATTTTTCATCGGTAACATCATATACTAAAAGGATACCCATAGCACCACGATAGTAAGCAGTGGTGATGGTTCTGAAACGTTCTTGACCAGCTGTATCCCAGATTTGTAATTTAATTCTTTTGCCTTCTAATTCAATTGTACGAATTTTGAAATCAATACTATTTTTATGAGAAATTTATTAAATTAGTATAAATGTAATATGATTAAATAATAATATTGCTTTTTATAGTTGGAGTAATGATGGTGTGATCAATAACAAAGTTCAATATTATAATCAATTACTGTCCAACTGCAAAAAGCAGAATTATTATTATTATGTAACTTACCCAATAGTAGTAATGAAACTTGGTGTGAATGAATCTTCAGAGAAACGTAATAATAAACATGATTTACCAACACCTGAATCACCAATTAAAAGTAATTTAATTAAATAATCGTAAGCTGCTGATTTATTTGAAGCTGGTGCACCTGGTGTTGCCATTTTCTTTCTTAATTATATTATATAGTTTGGTTGAAAATAAAAATAGTTGAACTAAATATTACAAATTCTTTTAATTGTTACAATTTAAAAAAAAAAATTTTAAAATTTTAGGTTAATATAAAATTTTATAAAGGTTGGTTTTATGTAAAAAATTTATGGTGTGAATGTTTTAATTTATATAACGGATTTTTTTTTTTTGTGATGATATTGTTTTTTTTTTGAAAAAAAAATTAAAAAAATAAAATAAAAAATAAAAAATTAAAAAAAAAAAAATTAAAAAAAAAAATCGAATACTATGTGAAAAAAAAAAAAAATTTACACAACAAATGGCTTTTTTTATAAAAAAAAAAAAGGTGGTTGGATGTTATGGTAAAGTTAAATAAAAAATTTTGAAAAAGATATCAAATTAATGGTGTTTAACTTAAAAACATTGAAGTTTTTTTTTTTTAAAAAAAAAGGTTATAAAATTAAGTCCTACATTTATCTAAATTTATTCCTGTGTATTATACTTTTTATTATTTTTTTTAAAAATAGTTTTGATTGATATTGTGTAAATGAAAAAAAATTTATTAACATATAAACACAAAAAAAATAAAAAAAAATATATATTTTTTTAAATTACTTATATTATAATAAAAATTTAAATAACAAAAAAAAAAAATAATAATAATATAAATTTTTAAAATAAAAAATAAATAAAAAATATAATTTAAAAAAATAAATAAAATTAAATCAAATTTTTCACACAATTATATTAAGTTATTTTATTATTTTTATTATTATTCTATTACCCACACTTAAAAAAATAATTAAAAAATAATTAAAAATAGTAATACTATTGAACACAATGTGTTTATTAAAATTGTTATTTTTTCAAATTACACAAAAAAAAAAAAAAAAAAAAAAAAAATAAAAATTTATTATTATTAATAGATATGGCTATTATTTTTTTTTTTATATTTATATATTTAAATATATTATTTAAAATACATAAAGTCAATTATTATTATTATTATTGTTGTTAAATTATATTAATATTATTATTATAAATATGAGAAAAACAATTTTTATTTATAAAATGTTTATAATGATGTTTTTAATATATAACATAAATATATAAATATAATCGGGTCTATTACAATACAATGTGTTAAAAGTATAAACAAATATTTGATGATTATTTTTTTATGAAATGATAAAGTGATTAATAGAGTGTTTTGGCTGTATTAATGGGCCCATGGTTATAGGTGATATGGGTGATAATAAAAAGATAAGATATTTTATAAAATATATATTGATAAAAATTCTAATCAAACTTTTTTTTTGTTATTTATTGTTATTAAATATTCATTGTGCTTTTATTTTAATGTTATTATGGAGTCATATTATGATAATTTATGAGGATAGAGATGGGATTCATATCCATAGACCTAAAACTGATTAATCTTTATAATTATTATTATTGTTATTGTTATTTAATTAATATTTATAATTCTACCTTTTTTAAATGATTTTTAAAAATTGAAACCTTTTTAAAGAATGGTTCTCGTTTTAATTTGCTAGTATAAAAATGAAATAAAAATAAAGTTTAATAAATAAAATATTTATATATAAAAAATAAAAAAAAAAATTTTAAATAAAAAAAAAAAAGCAAAAAAAAAAACAAAAATTTTTAAAAAAAATTAAAAAAAAATAATAAAAAAAAAATAAAATAAAAATATAAAAAAAAAAAAATAATAATAAAATTTTTATTTGAAAATTTGATTTATCTTGTGGTCTTTGTTTGGGTTTATTAAATTGTTTTTGGAGTGTGTGTGAGGGGCAAGATCTCAATTTAAATACTTAACAACTTAAATTTCTTTTAATTTAATTAAAATGGTGCCAATATCCAAAATATATAATTTCTAAAATAGTAATAGTATCATTCTTATTGACATTTCACTTAATAAAAATAAAATAGGACTCAATATATTATTTGTATACTTTAACATTTTCGTTTTACATTATATTTAGGATTGGTTAATTTATAATAATGTCAAGAAATAATATAATTAATACATATAAAATACATTACATATAATAATTATTGTTTTTTGCAGTATAATACTAAAAGGTATCAAAATATTAAGAAGTTTCGTAAAGATAAAGATATATGAGCAGTCGTTTTTTTATTTTTTTTGAAAATAATTCCTTGATTCGATTTTTTAAAATTAAATAATTTTAAAAAAAGTGAAAAAATTTAAAAAAATTAAAAAATTTAAAATTTAAAATTTTACTGGGAAAATTTTTCAAAGAACTTGGACAACGGGGTTAAAGTTTTTTTAAAAAGGTGGTAAACTTGAAATTTACCTTATTAAATTAAAAAAATTATAATTTTATATTAAGTTATTGCAATGGTTATGATTTTCCCTTTTTTAAATTTTAAAGTTATTGGATGTGTTGGGAGTTAAAATAATTTAAATATTTTTTATTAATTTATTTTTTATAGGGATTATAGAATTGGAAAGGTTCCCAATTTGGGACCCTTTGGTTTAAAGTTATGGAACGAAAAATGGGTTTAAAATTTCCATAAA